TCTTTCTTCCCCTATGATCCTCTGCCTTGTTTCTCAAATTCCACATATCAGTGAGAGCATATGATAATTGTCTTTCTCTGATTGACTTATTTCGCTTAGCATAATACCCTCTAGTTCCATCCACGTCGTTGCAAATGGCAAGATTTCATTTTTTGATGGCTGCATAATATTCCGTTGCATATATATACCATATCTTCTTTATCCATTCATCTGTCTATGGACATCTTGGCTCTTTCCACAGTTTGGCTATTGTGGACATTGCTGCTATAAACATTGGGGTGCACGTGCCCCTTCACAAACAAATTTTTAAAAAAATAATAAGAGGCTGTGGAATTTTTTTGTATTACCACAGATTTTTTTTAGCAAAATGGTTTCAAACCATTAACATCTTATTTATATGGCTTGATTTTTTTTTTTCTCCCAGAGTACTTGGAGAGCTTAAACGTTTTTACTACCCGTGAATAACAACAAAACAGTAATATTAGTAGCAGCTGCGGTGACATACATTTATTTTGGACTTCACCATACCAAATCCAGAGATAAGTTTTATATAAATTATCTCATTTGATTTTCACAAAATTCTTTTACCTGCATTTCCTAAACAAGAAAACTGAAGCGTGGGGCCGCAGTACACAGGCCAGACAGCTGGTTAGTGCTGGGTCTGGGGCCCCATGCTGCCTGAGCCTCCTTCCCGCACACAGTGTCGGTTTGGTCAGCGCCTCCCCTGCTCTCGTGCTCACAGAGCTTCTGTAACATGTTAACACGGGGAGATACTTACGTAAAGTGAAAAAACAAAAACAAAAAACTAAAGAGTGTAATGAAAAGCATAAAGATAAAAATAATCTTAAATAATACCAACACAATAAATGCAATTACTGCCTTTTTCTTAATTTTCCTTGATGAGACTGCTGCTTCAAACAATATTTAAGTGTCTCAGCTCTTTCTTTAGTTGTTTTGGTGATTGTGATGAATGGTCTCACTGATGAGCTCATCTTCTAGGGGATGACCTGATGCTGTGTGAAATGGAGATTGCAGACGGGGAAGACCTCTTTGTATGGAATGGGGTGGAGGTAAGAACGGATTGAAGAGATATGCATGATGGTTTTTGATTTTTTTTTTAAGTGTCATTGTAAGAAAACTTTATTCAGTGTCTGTGAAGGCAACTAGATGCTAGAAAACATCTGAAATGTCTGACAAATTTTAGGTACAGTCAGTGTTAGTCGTATGCTAAGGAGATGGTTGTCAAGTGTGTCTGCAGTGCCAGAAGCTCCCTCCGAAGGTGTGTAATCAGTCTGTCCTTCAGGCGGGCCTGTGTGCCTAACCCCACCAGCACAGCTCCTGCAGGAGGGTTCTGCGCATGCTCCCTGAGGGAGTTCAGGAGGGGGCAGGTAGCTACCCTGAGTTAGGGCGGTGACCTACAGGAGCGGAGGGGGTTCTCCAAGTCAGGAAAGGGGCGAGCAGCATCTCACCCACGCTGTGGTCTGTCCTTGGTCCATCTCTTGTATTTCCAAGACTTTTTTCTTCTTTTCTTTTCTGCTAAGGCTTTATTACCACTGCTGAGGACACATACATCTCTGTCTCCACTCCACATTGCTCTCCTAGAAAATAAAAGAAGGCTAAGAGAAAGTTTCAAAGGAAAAATCTAAAGTTCTGATACATCTAAGACATTTCACTTAAAAAGAAAAAAAGAGAATTCTCTGAGAGTAGTATTTTTTTTTTAAGATTTTATTTAATTTGAGAGCGCATGCGCGCGCGAGAGAGAGCATGAGAGGGGGGAGGGTCAGAGGGAGAAGCAGACTCCCTGCTGAGCAGGGAGCCCGATGTGGGACTTGATCCTGGGACTCCAGAACCATGACCTGAGCCGAAGGCAGTCGCTTAACCAACTGAGCCACCCAGGCGCCCTCTAAGAGTAGTCTTTTACTGTGTGATTACATTGACCTGATTTTGGCAAATAGAAACTATACTAATGGTTGTCTTGGTATTATTGTAGGTTGGTGGCATCCAGATTCCAACCGGGAGTGACTGTGAACCTCTGCTCTTAAATGTTCTTCATTTAGCAACAAGCAGCGAGGGGGAAAAGTGTCAGCAGTTGGTAGAGTCTCCACACGTCTTTCCATCCAATGCAGAAGTGGGTGCTGTGCTCACTGCCCTGGCAGTGCCCGTGGGTGTCCTCTTCGTCAGCGCCACGGACCCTGCCGGGGAAGAGAACTGGGTCGCTGTTCCCAAGGAAGACCTGAAGAAGACGTTCAGAGAGCAGGGCCTCAGGAACAAGAGCTCGGTTCTCGTTCAGGATTCTAGAGATGATAACAGGTAACCTGCTGAAATATAAGAGAATTCCTTTTTAAGTTATTTTTATGATAGTTCTGTCGCTTAGAACTCGAAAGCTTTATTTTAATACTGATAATAGTTCAGTATTTTCCTTTTGTTTCTAAACATTGTGTCCTGGGTATCGTATACAGGAGTGTTCTGGGTTAGGCAGCTTGGAGGAAGATGATATTATAATGTGATTTTTTTAAATTTTTATTTGTTGGTAAATGAGGTAACTAAATATATTATGTAGGTATAGGAGATATAATCTAGATTAGTTGTTTATAAAGCAGAATCTTGTCAAATGAATTCCGATTAGCACTTCCTACAAAACTGAAGGCACATTCACAAAGAAAGTTCCTGAATCTTTTCATGAGGAGGATATTAAGATCTAGCTAGATTTGTCTGTTTTGTCACAAGTCTCCCATAAGGCAATTGAGTTTTTCATTATAATCCTTTTTCTGAGTCTTGAGACCCTCCCAGCTGCCCAGAGAGGGCAGGTACATGGGTGATCACGCTCTTGATTCCTGTGAGTCACACTGGAAGCTCAGAAGTGCTGCCTGTCTCCATTTTGTCGTCCACGTCTGTTATGCTACATTTCTGTGGTCAGTGTGTCCTGCCCTGTAACCTCCCGGTTTCCATATATTAAAGACTTGACAAATCGTTCCCTGCATGATCAGTCGGGAGTCTCCATTTTATCATTCATAGTGGCTGTGACCCAGAGGCAGAGCGCTTGGAACAGTCTTTATTTTGTATTTATCACTCTTTTCGGACAAGTATTTTCTGGGCATTTATTTCTGCACTTTGTTTATTTAATTTAAAAGTTTATTATATGTTCCTTTATAAAAAGTACTACATGTGGGGCGCCTGGGTGGCTCAGTCAGTTAAGTGTTGGACTCTTGATTTCGGCTCAGGTCACGATCTTGGGGTTGTAAGAGCGAGCCCTGCATCGGGCTCTATACTGGGTGTGGAGCCTACTTAAGGTTCTCTGTCTCCCTCTGCCCCCCCCAAAATTAAATTTAAAAAAAAGTAATATAGCATGTATTAGGACTGGGAAATACAGAAGTGATGACAGGAGGCCCGAAACAGTGTCCCCTGTGCAGGGGCAGTCACTGTTAGCTTTCCTTCTGCCCTGAGCACAAATAATTGTTTTTTGTTGTTGTTTTTTGAAGGTTTTTTTCTTTTGAAGCTTACTAATGATTATTTCATGGACGGTTATATCCTGCTTCCTCCCAGTGTCTGTAGACTCGTGGCGCGGCTACGTAGCAGTTGGTGTTGATGTTACCTACCCATGCTCCCGCGCCAGGCAGTCTGTGCAGGGGTGAGGACGAGCCGCTGGGACTTGTTTCCAGCTTGATCACGTCCTGACAGTGCGACCCTGTGCAAGTCACCTCATCTCCCTCTGCTCAGTTTCTTCTTCTGCAAAATGAGGATAGAAATGAGTCCCAGCTTCCTAGAACCGGAGGGTGTGGGCGTTCAGTGCTTATGGAGAGTTTGCCTTTTGGTAAAAGGTGGCCATGTCATCCTCACTGTCCTCATCCAGTTGTCCACCACTTCAGGGTAGTCTTCAGGGAACATCTTTGTGCTTAAAACTTTGCTGTCTCGGGCCGCCTGGGTGGCTCAGTCATTAAGCGTCTGCCTTCGGCTTGGGTCATGATCCCAGGGTCCTGGGATCGAGCCCCACATCAGGCTCCCTGCTCGACGGGAAGCCTGCTTCTCCCTCTCCCACTCCCCCCTGCTTGTGTTCCCTCTCTCGCTATGTCTCTCTCTGTCAAATAAAATCTTCTAAAAAAACAAAAAACCAAAAACTTTGCTGTCTTTAGGATGTAGCCCTGGGTGGAACAGCTGAAATACAGAGTAGCGTTGTGTTTCGGGACTCTGATACACACTCCCAAGAGGACTTCTCTGCCCACGCATTGAGCGCGTCTGTGTGAATTAGAAAGCCACTCCTTCCTCCAGACCCTGTACCACTATGTGGAGGAAAATTTTGTTAGAGCGAGACACCGTACTTGTTCTCGTAGGCCATCTGCTGTTGTAAAAGAAAACTGTAATAGGGTGCCTGGGTGGCTCAGTTGGTTAAGCGACTGCCTTCAGCTCAGGTCATGATCCCGGAGTCCCAGGATCGAGTCCCACATCAGGCTCCTGGCTCAGCGGGGAGTCTGCTTCTCCTTCTGACCCTCTCCCCTGTCATGCTTTCTCTCTCTCTCTCTCTCAAATAAATAAAATCTTTTAAAAAAAAAGAAAACTGTAATAAACCTAGAAATATACGACGGGTACGACGGGAATGATATACCCCTTATATAAGGCACTTTTATGTAGCGTCTGTCTATACAGCTGTGCATGACTGTCCTGTTACTAAGCTGAATCTAGATCCTGGCATCAGTACTCTGAAAGCTCACCATGTGATTCCAGTGCGCAGGCCGAAGTCAGCCGCGGATTACTCCGTGACAACACTTCTCTTTGAAAAATGTGGCAACGCAAAAATCAAAACAAAAAATGTGGTAACAAATTATTTGTATAAGTCTGAGCATACTTGGAGTCCTGAAATAGACTCCATGCACAGCTGCCTGGCACTGCCCTAGAAAGATAGCTTTCTTAAAGCCAGCTCAGTAGACCTTGGTCACCTTTAATTAGTCACATCAAAGCACCCATGCAGAATTTTGGAAGTGGTACCTAAGGAAAAGTATTAATTTTCTGATCCTTTCTGATCCATAGAAGCACTGTGTAAAGACACATGTTTTAAAATGTCCCTATTCCTACAGTTTGTTGCTCAAACAAGGGAAATGGTTCGCTGGTATGAATGAGATCAACTGGCTCCAAGTTCAAAATTTATGTGAATTAGAATCCGAAGAGAAGCAAGTTAAAATATCAGCAACTGTGAACACAGTGAGTAGATTATAGTTCACGTCTGGTGGACAGTTTTCTAGTTTAACAGTGTTTGATTTAAAAAGCAGTACGTGAAATCTTCCAGAACGCTTGTCTCAGTGGGCTTCTAGAACTTAAGAAATCAACTTTTTGGGGCACCTGGCTGGCTCAGTCGGTAGAGCACACAGCTCTTGATCTCAAGGTCATGAGTTCAGGCCCCACGTTGGGCCTACGTAGAGCTTACTTTTTTAAAAAATGTGGGGGGAGGAAATCAACATTTTATTGTTAACATTTGATTACCGCTCATTTACCTCTATTAGCCCTTGGCATGTTTCAAGAAAATATGTGCCTTTTTTCCATCCAAGGCTACAATTAGAATGTAGGCTTTTACCTATTTAATTAGTTCATGGAATCCCCTAGCTTTGATAAATATAAAATGCCATTTTCCCACAATCTTTTCTCTATTTTTTAAACCAGGCAAATATGTTTTGGTTTTGTGTTGTGTTGTTTTTTGGTGCTTGTTTTTTTAAGCTTATCTTAAATTATTCTGCGTCGTACTCTGTGCACTCTAAAGTCAGCTGCTCTTAAAAGGGAGTCCTTCAGTTTTCCACTTGAAGACTGTGACCTGGTTTCCTTAAACATCATTCTGGGAAACATCTCTTTACATTCATGTGGTCTCTCAAGTCATTAAGGTTTTTTTTTTTCTAGAACATCAAAAGAAACCTATTAGAATGTTTTCTATAAATATTCTAATTTCTTAGGGTGCATTAGGATTGGTTGGTATGGCAGATCTGCCACCCTAAGTGGGAGGCTTTGGTGAAGTCCGGTTACTCCAGTCTCCGTTCCTTCTTGGTGCTGTGTGGGGCGCTCCTGGGAGGGTCCAGTCCGTGATTGCTGACATCACTTTTACCCCTAAATTTCCCATGCCCTAGAGGCAGTTAGCCTAAACTAAAAAGAAAAGAAAGAAAACAACCTAAAAGTAATTTAAACAAAAATGTTAAATAGTGCCCTTGGATTAGTGTTGCCCATCTTTATATTTTTTTATGCTCAATGGCCCTAAATTCATTATTCTTAACCTAAAGAAATACAATTAACTGCATTTTCTTTTGTTTGCTCTCATTAGAAAAGTTAGTGTGGGTTTTCAGCTTTTTGCCTTTGTAGCTAGGATTGTTTCTTTAGCTTTTCGTCTTTCTGTTCTGGTTACCATCGGTTTGGTAAAGGCTTAACTATTAAGATCCAGTTTTTGGTTTTAACTTGGTAGAAGAGAGGAAATGAATGTCAGAGATGGAAAAAAATCTTTTTTCAAGTAGTCAGAAACTTCTGTCCAGTAACCGGTAAGTCAGCTGAGCTGTGTACGCGTTCACTGACGGCCTCGGCGCCCTCCCCTCCCGTTGGTCTCATGCACACAGTCACTAGTTTATTTCTCTGTTGTAGGTGGTGTTTGATCTTCGAATTAAAGCCATAAAGGAACTAAAATTAATGAAGGAACTAGGTAATCATTTACGTTTGCTCTTGGGTTTTTTTGGTTTAATTTAGTTTTGTTTTGATTTTTGGTTAAAAAAAAAATATGGCAGTACAGGGGCGCCTGGGTGGCTCAGTTGGTGAAGCGTCTGCCTTCGGCTCAGGTCGTAATCTCAGGGTCCTGGGATCGAGCCCCGCGTTGGGCTCCCTGCTCAGTGGGGAGTGTGCTTCTCCCTCTGCCTCTCCTCTGCTTGTGCTCCCTCCCTCCCGCTCTCTCAAATAAATAAATAAAATATTTAAAAAGAAATATGGGAGTACAAAAAATAATTTAGGGAAAGTTCATGCCCTACCACCCACATGGACAAATGTTAACATTTTATCATGTCGTTATTGTTGTCTGAAACATTGTAAATAAAGTTAAAATTCTCTGTGTTCTCCTCCTCAGACCTCTTCTCTCTCCCTCCCCCAATGCAGTCAGTATATCTGATTTGGGTGTGTTCCGTATGCATTCGACTGTTCTGTTCACATTATGCTTCCATATATAGGTGTATAGATATGTGTATATTGTACTTTCACATTTAAATTCTATCATACAGAATATAACATTCTGAAACTCACTCTTCACTCGGCAGTAGGTTTTCTTTAACAGCTTTACTGAGGTATAATAACTCACATACCATCAAACACCCATTCTGTGGATAAGTCAGTGATGATTAGTAAACGTACAGAGTTGTACAGCCATGAACACAGTCCAGTTTTAGAACATTCCATTGCTCCAAAAAGATTCCTCGTGCCCCTTTTGCTTTCCAAGCCCCGACAGCCACTCATCTACTTTCTGTCTCTCTAGACTTACTTTTCTGGACATTTTAAGTAAATGGAACCATATAATATGAACTCCCTCATGTCTGACTTCTTTCACTTAGCATACCAGTTTTGAGGTTCATCCATGATTTAGTGTGTATCAGAAATGTGTTCCTTTTTATTGCTGACCAGTGTTCCATCATATGGATGTATCACATTTTGTTTATTTCTCCACCTCTTGATAGACATTTGGATTGTTTCGAGTTTGGAGGTTTTATGAATAATGCTGTTATACACATTTGCATGTAATTCTTTGTGTGGACATGTTTTCGGTTCTCTCGGGTAGATCTGCAGGATTGTAGTTGCTGGGTCATATGGCACATTTGTGTTTAACTTTATAAGAAACTGCCATTCTACTTTCCTGAGTGGATGAACCATCTACGTCCCCGCTAGCCGTGTGCTAGCATTGCGGTTTCTCCACATCCTTGCCAGTATTTGTATCTGTCTTCTTGATTGTAACCACGCTGGTGGGTATGAATTAATCTCATTGTGTCTTCAGTTGATTTTCCTAATGCGGTGGTGGTGAGCACTGTGGATGTGCTTACTGTCTATATATCTAAAGGATTCTCTTAAGAAGCTTAGACTAGAACTAGGAAGTTTAACGAGAAGTCAAAATTAATACAAAAAATCCATTGTATGTTTACTAGCAACAGAAAAAAATGGGAAATGAAATTAGGAAAACATTTTAATAGCATAAGATATCATGAAATATTTGGGGATAAATTTATTGAAATATGTGCAGGACATATACACTGACAAGAAAATATCCCTGTGAAAAGTCAGAGAACATGTAAGTAAGTGGAACGATGCACCATGTTCCTGGATCAGAAAACATGACATTGTTAAGAAGTAAATTCTCCCAAAATCAATTTGTAGATTCAGTGCATCCTCACTCAGAATCCTAGCAGGTTATGTGTGTGTGTGTGTGTGTGTGTGTGAGAGAGAAATTGACAAGCTGATTCACTTTACATGGAAATGCAAAGAGCCTAGAGTATCCTAACAACTTGAGGGGAGAAGAGATTGGAAGAGTCACACTATCTGATTTCGGGATTCACGCTAAAGCTGTAGGCGTCAAGACAGTGGGTCCTAGCATAGGAGCAGACCTAGTGCAGGGGTCAGCAAGCTCTCTAGGCCAAAACCTGTTCCTGTGCAGTCGGTGAGCTAAGAATAGTTTTCACACTCCTGAAGGGCTCCTTTTCTGCAATAGAGATTGTATGTGGTTTTTGAGCCTAAAATATTTACATTGGAACTACATTGAGAATCCAGAAATAGGTGCAAATAAATGAAAGTCCCTTGACTTTCAACAAAAGTACTAAGGTATTCCCATGGGGAAAAATAGTGTATTTTCAACATAAGGTGCTGGACCGATTAGCTATCCATGGATGCAAAGATGAACCTCTAGCTTTGCCTTACATCATGTAAAATACTAATTCAAAATGGACCATAGACCTAAATGTTAAAACCATTTCCATAAAATTTCTAGGAGAGAATTTATGAGAAAATCTTTGTTACTTTTATCATAAGGAAAAGGCTTTTTTTTTTTTAGTTAGGAGTCCTGCACAAACCATAAAAGAAAAAAAACAATAAATTGGGCAATATCAAAATTTAAAACTTCTGTACTTCAAAAGGCATTTAAAAAGGCAAGCCACAAATTGGGAGAAAAAAATTTGTAGCACGTTTGACATAGACTTGCATCCAGGTTGTATAAAAAAAATACTTGTAACTTAATCAGAAGACAACTCAGCCCACATGGGGAAGACACTTGACAGAAGAACACCTTCCTATGGACGACTAGTAAGCACAGGAAGGATGCTTAGTGTCGTTAGCCATGAAGCTGATTAGCTGTCAGACTGAAACCGCAATGATACACCACTGTACACCCAGTGGAATGGTTAGAATTAAAGGCCCAGCAAAACCAAGCGTTAGCGAAGATGTGGAGCAGCTCCCACATACTACGGCGTGAGTGCAAAATGGTAAAGAGTTAGCTTGCTTCTTAGGAATTTAAACATTCACTTACCCGTCCTAGGTGCCTTACCCAAGAAAAATGAAACCATATCCTTACAGATACTCTATGTAAATGTTCATAATGGAAAAGTGGATACAGTCCAAAAGTCCATAAGGCGGTGAATGGGTGAGCAAACTGTGTTGTAGCGTAACAACAGGAGGTTGTTCATCAGCACGAGCTTCGAGCTACCACCACCTGCAAAACACGGGTGACTCTCAAAGCAGAAGCCGGACACAAAAGAGCACATACTCTTATGACTCCACTTATGTGAAATTTTCAGAACAAAAAACCCATGCTTTAGTGATGGGGCGGAAAATTGGATTGCAGGGGGAGGTTGACTGCAGAGTGGCATGAGGGAATTTTGGGGGGTGATGCAAATCCTATCTCGGTTTACTGGTTGTTGCTGAGCGTTTAGATCAGACTCTGTACACTTAAACAGGACATGTTTTATTGTAACTTACACCTCAAATTGACTAAAAGCGTATGGTTTATTAAAATGAAGAGTTTATCATCTTCCCGTGAAACAGGTCTCCCTTCTTTCACTCTTGCCCCCCTCTGAACCGTTCTCCTTCTAGCAAGTGATCTTCTTAAATGGAGGCGAATGAGAGCGTATCACCCCTCTGCTTTGCGCCCTGTAGTGCTTGTCCATCGCACACAGGCTCCTTCCTCAACCCAGCCTTCAAGAACCGGCCTCGTCCGACCACGGCCTCGCAACCTCCTATGGTCCCCTCTCCTGCTTCACACACTTCCCACGCTGGCTCTCAGAGGTTCTAGTGTGCCAGTGCTCCCGCCGCACCCCTCGGCGCCCCACTTCTCAGTGGGGTCCTCTCCCTGAACTGTCTCTTCCCTCCTCTCTGCTGACTTCAGCCACCCACTTGCCCTGAGCTAAAATGTTACTTGCCGTCGTCCCTGAGTGCTCAATCTCAGCTAACATCCGTTTTCTCCTGGTACCTCGTACGCTCGCGCCTCACTGCCCCAGTGCCTCGTGTGGCGAAGGCCCACCTCCTCCGTCAGACGAGACGGCAGAGTCCGTGGCTGTTTCCCCTCACTGCTCTGCTGTCCTCTTCTGGTCGGCGCCTGGCACATGGAAGACACAGTTTGTGAACTGAAAGAATACTTTAAGGAGGCAGTGTTGAGATGCATTTTTTAAATTGAAGAACTCTTCATAAGCTGTTTCAGTGGTTGGGAAATGTGTATTAGAATGGTTTGCTAGCTGCACGGTACCGCTGCGTAACATGTAGACCTCTGGAATCTCAGCGATTTGTTGTGGTCTGATAAGAGTGTGGACTCAGAAGGCCCCCCTCATCCTTGTCCTCCCGGGAGGCCTTACTCCTCCTCCCAGGCCCCCACTCCTATCCGGCTTTGTAAGGATTCCGTTTGGACTCAAAACCTGGAGCGCTCCTTCCCACAAAGCCAGAATCTTCACACCTGCAAAAATAGGGCCCACTGGCCCTAATCCGTTTAATAAGCATAAAAATCACCTAACAAATTTTACATAGAGGCAGTCTGCACGAATTTCAGTTACCATGGCTCATTACATAACGTCAGCCGCCCAACAGCGTGGCTCCAATGTCTGCTACGCTGCACGTGAACAGAGTAATTGCATGAAGTGCAAACTTTGCTACTAGCTCTTCATTCCACAGGTCGCTACGTAAATAGCAGATGTGCATCAGGATCGGTGACCGATTACCTCCCTCTGGAGTGTCTGGTATTCATTGCACCACAGCCAAGGGTGTGGCCTGTTGTCCCCCTTCTCCCACCGTAAGGCCACGTGACATCTTGCACTCATGGCTAAGCGACTTGCTTCGCAGAGATGAAGGTGCAGCTGGGAAGGTCTACAGAGGCCTAGAAGAAATAGCTGGCTGGGGGAATGTTGGCACTGCTATCTCTCCGGAGACTAGATATGCAGCCAGGGGACACGAAGGGATGTGAGGAAAGTGGTTGTGACAGGACGATGAGATCCCTGAGGAGGTGATGCTGGCAAAAACCCTCATGTCCAAGGAGCCTCCTACAGACCCTTCATGAGGTTGAAAGCACAAAACAGGAAATTTGGGAAGCAGAGCAAACTTAGAGGATGACAGTTCGCTCGGGGATAGAAAAGATGCTCACTTGGTATTGTAAGCTCTACGGCAAGAAGCGAGCCCTGTGTAAACTAGACTTGATGTTTTTTACAAAAAAAAAAAAAAAATTCTCAAATGTTTCTAGTGTTTTAACTTGCAGTGTAAATACTAATTTTGCTATTTTTTAAATTTGACTGTACATGTGTAACGGATGGAGATTTAACTGTTATAACAACAGTGTTGAGAGGTGCCAGGACAGCTGCGGTGTCCTCACGGTGACTGAGCTGGCCTCGCGTGGTTTTGGCATGGCAGGCCTTCTCGTGGCCTTGTGCGAACTGAAGACTGCCTGTACTTGGGTGTTTTTTGTTTTTGATGGGGGTTTTTTGTTTTGTAGCTTATTATAGCTTTCTGCTAATTGCAACAGTAGAGCATCTCTAGTTTTTTTGGTGCACTAACCAGCTTCTTTTTATTTGTAGCTGAGAACAGCTGTTTGAGACCTATTGATAGAAATGGGAAGCTGCTTTGTCCAGGTAAATCTTTGTGGTAGCCTTCAAATACGGACACACGCTCACACCATCAATCTTTCTTATTTAAATGGTGTCTTCCAGTACCTAATATCCTTAAATTACCTTTTAGAAACTAACTTATTAGACATACTATTGTCCCAGTGCTGTCTTCACGTATTATAGAAAATCGTAACCAGAAATTCAAACACGTCTGTTTTCTAAAGGAAAACACCTATCTTTCTGATGAGCTGATCCTCATTTTAGGCAATTGTTTTGATCGAGTTGTATCTTTTCTAGATTCATTGTCAAAGTGTTTGTATTGCTCATGTTACTGTGGTAAGAGTTGTAGAATAGACTTTGTTCTCATCTCTGCATCCTGTCATTAGACTTAATTTAACTGATGGTCACCACAGCAGCTTTGAATGTGGAAGAGGCTGGTCCATCGTTCATGAATCAATTCGGCTTTTAATCTTTTAAAAGCTAGCTTTTAATCCAAGTAAACAATGGCTCTTTGATTCTTATTAAGTATGAATCTAAAACATTCATAACTGCCTCTTATTTCTTAGCATTGTTGTACAGATAGGAAGATATATCCTAGAGTGTGGAAATTGAAAATCAAACATAACTGTAATACAGGTCATCCTTTTGCATGGAGTACATCTCATATTTTTTCTTTCTTGACATTGATTTTCAAAGGAAGGCTGATTTCAGTATATTATTTTGCCCAGAGAGGTAGGAATTAATAACATTCATCCTGTTCTCCAAATTCTTTGTAGTGCCAGACAGTTACACTTTGAAGGAAGCAGAACTGAAGATGGGGAGTTCACTGGGACTGTGTCCTGGAAAAGCGCCAACTTCCTCTCAGGTAACATGGGGTCTACCTGACAGAATGAGATCAAGCTTCCCAGAATCAGAAGTTCTTAATTTCGTGATTCTTACCTTAACTACTGCACCCAGTAATCATTTTTCTTAGAAGTTTTTTCTTTCTTAAACGATACCTTGTATGTTAGGCATACAAAGAACCATCTAGTTCTTTGTGTTTAAATCAAAAATATCAATAAATAAAATCTTAAAAAAAAAAAAGGACGACTGGGTGGCTCAGTCGGTTAAGCAGCTGCCTTCGGCCCGGGTCATGATCCCAGCGTCCTGGGATCAAGTCCCACATCAGGCTCCTTGCTCAGCAGGGAGCCTGCTTCTCCCTCTCTCTCCCTCTGCTTGTGCTCTCTCTGTCAAATAAATAAAATCTTTAAAAAAAAAAACAATCAAAAATATCAATGTCAGAGCATATTCATAAGGTTCTTTTTTTGTGAGAATTTTGTGGTTAAGGGGGACTTTTAAAGTTGGCCACCTGTTCGAACCACCCTGTTTCAGAAATTCTAAGCAGCACCCCTTTTCCCCACATTTCGCCATCTGCAAGGTTAGGACCCATGTTACAGTCAGTGGCCTCTGATTGCAGCAGCTGCACTGTTTCTCCTCCTTAGTGGCGCAGGAAGTGCTGAGGGACAACCAGCGGCATCTTAGATGTAATGAAATAGAGCATATGGATTTTGGACTGAATTACTCTCTGCAGTAATACAATTGTCTCATAGCAGCTTTGTTTTCAATCGGTCCTCGTTTTCTGTATAAAGTATTGGGTCTGCCAGAAGCCCTATGTGTTCAGTAAAGTTTCATTACAGTCCAAAATTCACAGGGTCCTTACCGGTAAGACTCTGTTTCGCCGGAGCTGGACTCCTGTCAGGATCCCTGTGGTTCCCAGATGCACTTCTTTAGTTTCCCAGCTACCGCCTCTTTAATTTGTTCTTCCCCTGAACTTGGCCACGTAAGAATGTATGACAAGCTGGGAGGAGGGAAACATGACAGGTGAGATAGAGTTCGAAAGGAAAGGGAGGGCCGTAAGGAGCTGAACTGACAGGCGATCAGATTCCCTGGACAGAAAATAAGATCACAGCCAAATGACAGAGAAAACCCAGTTAATGCTTACAGCATGTGGCCGATCCCTTTGAGGAGTGACCAAGAAAGAAATGAAGATCATGGTGGGATAAATAATATCTGGGAGAGAGAAACAATGATGTAACACCTGTGGGAGTGGAAACACGTGTGAAGCATCTTACGTTTCTGGGTCGTCGAGATTATTGTTTAAATTGCAACATTAAATTACCCAGCATCTTTATTTTTATATGATAAGATTTTTATTAAAATTTCATGGACCATTAGCTTTTCTTTTTTGGAAGCAGGTAATACATTTATAGAATTTTAAAATTTAGATTAAATTGCATTCATTGATCTTAGCTGTTCCTGTTTTTCACTGTGGGGAGTGATGTTCAGCCTGGTACAGAGATGGAGATCATAGTAGAAGAAACAATATCTGTGAGAGATGTGAGTAATTTTACTTTTTCTGGTGTGGGGAGAGGTCTGTGGGCATTTGGTATGGGGAGCCATGGTAACCCGTGTTTGGAATTTGAGGTCCTGAGGCTAGGGTTCACATAATATACTTTAGAGAATTCTGTGCATTCACTAAATGAGTAGTTTTGGGAACTTGAAAATTGGTGAACAGCCCAAATTTTTAAAATAAGATTATTATCTTTTTTTTTTCTGATTATCAGTAATACTTGTTTATTATAGAAATTTGGGCTACACAGAAATGGAGTAAAAGAAAAAATTATCATCTAGAACTAATGATGTAATGTATGGGGATTAACATAAGAATAAAAAAAAAAAAAAAAAAAAAGAAAAAATTAAAACCCCTCATTATCCTTTATCCCACTAATATTAACATTTTGGCATATTTCCTACTGGTGTTTTTAGGGATACACATACGTAATCACACCCCCGGGCGTGAATGTGTGTGTGTGTGTGTATGGGGTAATAATTATGGTAGCATCATGGAGAACTAGGACTTTCAGTCTTGGAAAATGGAGAGACACATAGCATTGGGGTAGTTGAGTAGAGCCTGTACTCCTGAATTTGAATCAGAAGAGTCAGAATGAACTTGATGTTTGTTTTTTAAAATTTTTTCTAGCTCTTTCCCCTAAAACAGCTTAGACACAGTGACCAACCTGGTGGGAGCAAGCACCCCAGCACCCAGATTGTGGTTGCTAAATACAGCTTCCTACTGGAAGGAATCAGGGCTTCTTGGAGTAGCAGCCGGGTCTGTATCTAGGTCAGGAACGTGTCAGGTGAGCCTGGAACATCTTATCCTGACAGAAGCAGTAACGCTAGCAAAGACTGCTGGGATCTGCGGAGAAACTCAGGAGCCAACTTGAAGAGGCTCCTGCTAGTCACAGATGAGACAGTTTGAGCCTTCGTGGGAATAATAATAAAACTGATTACTATGCATACTTAAAATCCACGAGTTCATAAGTGATCCTAAAAAGACCATCTTCACTGGTTATGCAGAGTGGATGCTGGGGAACCATAAGGAGAAGGGTCAAGCATTTATCCTGTGTTTCTTTTGGAAGCTATACTGCAGGGTAACCAGATAGATAAGGAGAAGGTGTTTTGATAGACATATCTCAGCTAATAAATAAGATGAAAGAATTTTAAACTACTGCGGTTATTTTAACTCCTAATGAATTAATGTGTCTAAACAATGATCCGGAAAGACTGCTAACAATCCAAAAAGAGTAACACGCACACATTACAGTAGTTCAAAATGATACCCATGCTCTTCTTGCCAAAATAAAACAAAACGAAGTGGACCTGAGCTCCTAGGTCTGAGGGTCAGTTTCTAAGAAGTACAGGGGGACAGAGGGGACGTGTTACCGCAGCCCAGGGCCACCGTCTGCACAGTCCTGAAGGGACTCAGGAGACAAGAGGGGCAGGTGCAGTGTGTGCACTTTTATTTGGCTCTTGGTACAAACCAGGAAAACCTTAGTTACAGTGTAAGAGAGACTAAGGGAAATGGGGGCTGAGGGCAACTGGCTGACTCAGTCGGTGGAACGTGTGACTCTTGATCTTGGGGTTGTGAGTTTGAGCTCCATGTCAGGCATAGAGATTACTTAAAAAAGGTAGGGGAATATGAACACCAACTGGGTATTTGTTATTAAGGAATTCTTAAGTTTTTTCAGATGTCGTAATTGTTTCAGGCTTATGTTTTTTAAAAGAATGTTTATCTTTTCGAGATGAGTGCTAAATATTAATAAATGATATGATAGTTGACATTCTTGTCTCAAAGCACCTGGGGGCAGGGGGCGGGCGGGACAGGAAATGGGTGGGAGTGTGGCGCACAAGACGGGCCACGGCAGTCACGGATGTTGGGTGGTGGCTTCCGACGGCTCACGTTTACCACTCTCTCTGCATGTGTTTGAAATTGTCCACAATAAAACATTTAAAAAAATTTTTTTTTCTACTTTTTGTTACCTGCTGTAAATATTTTCCTAGCTTTTCATTTAGCTTTTAACTTTTTGGTGCTTTTCATGTCAAAGACAGGAGGCCGCAGAACGTTTCAGAGGAGCAAAGTGTCTGTCTGTCTGCTCTCGAGCCCACTGCGGGCAGACTCACTCCCCTCCACGTGGCTGGGTCCCGTGAGCAGTTCTCCGTTGTCCTCTGACGCGATCGATGCCTCTCTGGGCCTTGAAACGCTTCTGTCACTTGGCTCAGGAAGACCACAGCTCCTCACGGTCCCCCCACGTCACAGGCCCAGCCCTCCACAGTTTGCGCTCTTCTGTCTCCCTTAGACTGGACCCCGGCCCTGCACTCTGTGCCTGTGTGACCAGCTGCTCTTGGTTGTCTGATAGCCCTCCCCCTGCTGTGTGACCCCCGTCCTGGCTCGCACGCACCTCACGTTTCCCTCGTCAGTCGCTGGTGGCAGCTCCATTTCTCTGCTCGCTCGGGCCAGAACACCAGGGAGTCATCCTCGATTCTTTTCTGTTTCACATCCAGGTTTTCAGGAAACCTCCCATCACAGTTCATCTAGGATCTGACCACATCTCATTCCCTCCACTGTCACACCCTGCTCACCTCTCCTCTGGATTATTCCAGCAGCTTCCTGACGGATCTTTTTCTTTCCAGCCTGGCATTTCCCCAGGGTCTGTTCTTACAGAGACGTTGAGTGGTCCCTTCCCTTCCTGTTCTCACAGCCCTCGTGTGCTTCCCCCTGTGTCTCGGGGTCCCAGCCAGAGGCCCCGAGCGCTTGCTCTGCTGAGCCACATCGGCCTCCATGCTCTGGTCCTCCCCAGCACACAGCTGAGGTGAATGCCCATCTGGTCGTTTTCTTAAGTAACGGAAGCTGTCCTCGGCTGCAGCCTTGCTCCCATTCCCTGTGTTTTACTGGATTGTGCTCTCATTGCTGGCCTTTTCTAAACACCCTGTAGGTATATATTGAAGTCTTTTCTATTCTTAATCATACAAGTAATCATGGACTTATTCTTTAAACTCCAGTGGGGTGGGTTATAGCTAAAAATCCTTCTTGATCCCCACCCTACCCTAGCCCCTCAGCCAGACGTCTACATGGTCTCGGGATGGTGAGATCTGACCACACCAGCGAGCGTGTGTCTTTCCAGACCTTTGATGCACTCATACCGGCTCAGGGACAAATGAGCTGGACTTGTTCGTATGCTTTCTTTTAAATCATAAATGGGATCACACTGCATGTGTACTAGAACTTTGTTTCACTTCAAATTTAGAGAGGTCTTTTAAGACTATAGGGGTGCCTGGGTGGCTCAGTCATTAAGCATCTGCCTTTGGCTCAGGTCATGATCCCGGGGTCCTGGGATCGAGCCCCGCATCGGGCTCCTTGCTCGGCGGGAAGCCTGCTTCTCCCTCTCCCACACCCCCTGCTTGTGTTCTCTCTCTCGCTGTGTCTCTGTCAAATAAATAAATTCTAAAAAGAAAAAAAGAGTACGTATAAATCCATTTTATCTTTTAAGACCTCTCATAGTTTATAAAGTGTTCCTCTGTTCGTGGGTATTTTGATCCTTTGCTCTTTTTCTTACTCCAAGCAGTACAGTAGTAATCTTCCTTATTCTTGCTTCCTTCTGTGCTAGTGTAGTATAATTCAAGTTATATTTACTCTTGCCGTAGATTTATAGGTAGGCAAAAGAGTAGGTTTTCCCCCCAAAGAAGTTGGGAGTTTCTGATTTTTACTATTGTTATTTAAACTTCTGTTAGTCGTGTGTCACTGTTGCTTTCTGCCGTGGGATCACCGCCGCACGGGTCTCTCCCTGAGTTTATAGGCGGCCAGTTCTATCTCTTGGGTGCTGTGTAAAGGCTAATCTCCTTTTGTAGGATTCAGAGGTTAATATATATCTATGAAACCAGCCTAATCAGTCCTATCCGGTCCAAACCGCAATGTTGGTCCTCATGAGCAGAAGGCTGACCTGGATGTGGGTGAGCCGCATCTACGTCTCGGATGCAGACACCTGCAACTTCTTCCCCCTCCTGGGTTGGCCCTTTTAGCTCTTAGGAAGCTGAGCTTCCTCAAATCATCTTAACTGTGTACGTCCTTATCCCTTCAGGAATTATTAAATATAATAAGACAGATAGGCCCAGGGTCTAAAAGGGGCATCTCTCTCAATACTGTACCTCAGAAACAGAATTAATGAATGTGGTTTTTCTTTTTTTTTTTTTTTTTTTTTTGAACAGTGTTTGAAGCTCATGCTGGAGAAGTCTGGCCTACCGGGTAAGTTCCAGACCATGACGATGTCACTTCTCTCTGTCCTAATAAGTTATAAGTTATGTCTTTATAATAAGGGCCTGATGACAGCCCTTCAGGTTTGTCTGCACACACACAGTGCATTCTCCTGGTTCCTGTGTGCGAGCGAACAGAAAGCTCGCCATGCATGAGCTGCTGCGAGTACAGAGAACCTAGACGGGCTCCAGCACAGGCTCAGAAGAGACGAAGCTAGGATTTCTGCCCTCTGGAATTTCCAGGCCCTTCGCTGATTTTTTTCTTTTTAAGCTCATTGATTCAGAATTTCAGTGCATTGTGTTTTGTGCCAGTGTTTCTGTGGTGTACATTAGGGAATGTAATAGGAAAAATCCAGGTTGTATTTGAAGTGGCTCCCCAGGGGGGAATCATGCGAGAGGGCTCCAAGGGGCGTCCCGCCGCGCTCCTTAGAGTGTTGGCTGTCGGCAGACCGGGCTGAGCTGAAACCTGAGGCGCCACTACTGGAAGGGAGGTTGCAGGCCTTGCACACAAGGCACCCTTCTAGGAGCCAGCAGGCCTCCGTGCGGGGACCAGCACCCATCCCCGTCCCACAGATGACAAGACAGAGGCCGAGAATGGTTAAGGGTTTACCCAGAGTTGTACAGCGAGTAGCTAAGCCTCTGCTTTCAGGACCCGCGTTCTTCCTTCCACGTTATGCTGCGAAGGAGGAACGGTGTTCACCTTTAACTTATTGGTGGGGTTTTGTTTTGTGTTTTAAACACACTTACAGGGGCACCTGGGTGGCTTAGTTGGTTAAAGCGTCTGCCTTCGGCTCAGGTCGTGATCTCAGGGTCCTCGGGTCGAGCCCCATGTCAGGCTGCCTGCTCAGCCGGGAGCCTGCTTCTCCTTCTCCCTCTGCCTCTCCCCCTGCTCGTGCTTTCTCTCTCTCAAATAAATAAAGTCTTACAAAAACACTTAGATTAAGTTAAATATTAATACAGTTCTTACTGCATTTAAAACTAGAACTAATGGTAAGAGAGGGCCTGCAAAGAACAGTATGGTAAGGATTTCAGATCTGTGTGGTCTGTGCGGGATCAGTATTAGATCTGTGTTTACTCTTTTGGCTGTAGCTTCTCTTGGCGGGTGGGGTGGCTGTTTATAAGACATTGCTTTTTTTTTTTCCAATAACCAGGATTTCCAACTTTTGCTCTATTCAGCTTGTGTCGCCGCTTCAAAAAATTTCTTTCCCATTTCATCAGTATAGCAAGCATATTGAGAGAAGTCTAATTAAAGACTGTTTAACATTCATAAGTGTTCATTTATACCAACTTCATTAAAATGCTATTTCAAAAACACTATTTTTGTTAGATTAACTGATAAGTGGATAGGAACAGTTTCGTTGTGCACATTATCAGTTGCTAAGAGATATTAGCCTATACTTTCAACCAAGACCATGAAATAAAACAACTTCATAATGATTTTAGAAGAGATTCTGTGCCTAGACATACAGATATCTGTATTCTATGTGATGTGTGTGCACGTGTAAATGATAGAGGTATAATGTAAACGTTATGTAATAGTAGCAAGTGTTAACCTGTTTGCAAGTAGCAGATCTTGGTGGAATAGAGAGGAAATTAACCAAACTGGAGGAACCACCTAATTTTTTTCATGCCTGGAAGAGAGAATTTACTTTAAAAATTAGTTAATAGTTACTTGCTCAAATCCCATTTGATATTCGTTCATCCAGAAGGGTCATTACTGACAAACTCTTAAAAATATATTCTTAATTTTTTTTATCCTGATTTTGATTCTTTCACAGGAGACACGTGGCATTTACGAAAAATGGATTGGTGTTACGAAGCTGGAGAGCCTTTATGTGAAGAAGTAAGATTATTGTTACACATTTTGCTCTTAGAAATGACTGTGTTTGTGTTTCATCCACGATACTCACCCTCACCCCACTGGTGAATAAATTCTAGAGAAAACTTTAATTTTTTTTAGGATACAAAAGTCTGTACCTGGTAGGTCTTTGCTAAAGTCAGAGGGAAAGTCTTAGCCTAATGGGAACGTTTCTCATGTCTGTGTTAAGTCCTCTTTTGACTTAAGAGTATGTCCCTAGAAACAGTAGTTGCTCATGAGAAGGCAGAGAACTTCAGAGAACAAAAGACATTTGGAAACAATGTGAGGATACACTCTGAATTTTGAAACCTGAATGTTTTCATCTCCGTTTCTCTGTAAGTTAATGATGGCAGAATTCATCTTACCAGCCAGTCACTTAGGCTCAGATCGAAACTGCATCTCTAGATCCAGCCAGACTCTCCGGGTAGCCTTAGGAACAGTATTATCACAGGATAGTTGGACTCTGGTTAACCATCTTATTACTGATCCAGATAGCGTCACACCTGCCGGTCCAAACCCGGGGGCTTAGAAGTGGTCCCAAGATGAAGCTCAGGGAGAAAGCAAGCTTAGGTACTTGCGGTCGGCCGCACTCCCCCGAGTCCTGTTGTGACTGCCGTCCAGTAACAGCTGGTGGCATTGAGCGTCAGCAGAAGGCTGATCTAGGCAGGAGGACTGGGCCTTCCCCCGCAACCGCTCTGTTGTCTGGGGCCCAGTGAGTCCGCGCCGAGAGGCACCTCTGAGGCTCGGCTGGGAAGCTGACCGCCCAGAGTAAGACGCAGACCTCAGACAATCCCCAAGACATGAGGTTTGGAGGTCAGAGTGTGTGTCTAGTCGTGTGGTTTCCACATTTTCTTCTCTTCTAATTCCCGAATTGGAATCAAACAATTCACCTAAAACCAAACTTACTATCCTCAAAACTGGCTCCTCTTTGCAGAGATGATGCTGTTCCCCGGCCTGGTGTTTTCAGGCTGCAGTGCCGCTTCCCCTGCTCACCTGTAGTCCTTCATATTTGCTCTTGGCTTTTCCACTCCTCCCGGGCCCTTCCCCTGGCTGGCCGCCCTGGCCCAGCTTTTTTCAGCTTTTCTTTTTTTGGCCTCTACCTAAATTACACCCAAGTGGCTTCCCCAGGTCCGGTGTTCCCCCACTTCAGTATATCGTGCATTCAGCAGCCAGACTGGTCTTTAAAAACCCCTTCTCAGAAAACTTGAGTGGCTTTTTTAAAAAGCAGCTAAAAATTCCTTTAGTTCACAGCCCTTCCATCTGTGACCACCCCTCCGATCTAGCTTCCTGTCTTGTTACTCTCCAGCTCGTACTCTGGTCTGTCTCGTCTCTTAACTCTTCCCCTTATTCTGGACTTCACCTTAACCCTGCTCTTCTTTTCATCAGAATTCCTTGTCGTTTCCTCTAGCTTTCCATCTCCAACCCAGCCTTCAGGCTTAACTAATATTTCGTCCTCTGTAGCTCCATCCTACTTTTCTCATCCCATCCATCTCCCTCTCTGCAGAGCCTTTATGATACTTCCGGTTCATACCCTATAACTTAATACAGAATGAGATAGTGTTAGGTAGTGTCAGTTTATTTCCTGTCTCCTTGATACCTGCTTTATTCTTTCTTTCTTGAAAGGGTTATAGAGGTTATAGAGGTTTAAAGAAAAGATCCAGGGGTCTTGTCTCTTCCCGTCAGAAGTCATAAAGGAATTTCTGTTTCCCCAGGACGCAACCCTGAGAGAACTTATGATATGCTCTGGAGATACTTTGCTTTTAATTGAAGGAGAACTTCCCCCTCCGGTAAGGTTTTGTTTCTGATTGACATTTTGTACATAACAGTTAGTGCTTCCTGATGCCAAAGATGATATATTCTCCTTGTGGGGAAATACAGCCAGGCAGGGAGAGGAGTGCTAGGATTTGGGGTGAGTCCTCTAATCAGACAGCTGCCATATTTCACATCTTTATAGATTTTCTTCTTATAAAATCAGTTGTAGATACCGTTTTATTTCCTGCTTTTCGTATTTCATTTTTAAACCTGACTGCAGAATCCAAAACCAGTCACTGTATCCAGGGTGTGACTTACCACAGTTTAATTCACATACCCCCAGTGAGAAATTTAGCTTGTTTTAAATCTTTTGTTTTTACGCATAGTACTTAAATAGAAATCCTCCTCAAGATGGTTCCAAAGTCAAAATGAACAGGTCAGAGGTACGAACTTTTTAAAGACTAGATGCTGGCTCTGTGTTGCCACATTGTTTTCCCAGAAAGCCGCACCAAACCGATAGCTCTGTGAGCTGCAGACGAGAACACTCATTTCGCTGCTCTTAAATAAACACTGCGGATAACCACTTTTTGAGACCATTATTTATTAGGTTATTTTTAAGGCGGACACACGTAAAGATGAAAGTTTAAAAAATGACCCCACATTCCAGCACTTAGATAACCACTGGCTTAGGATTAGGAAATTCAAAAGACATGGCAGGCTATAAAATGAAAAGAGTTTTTCCCATTTTTTTTTCTCTCCAGAGTGAGTCAGAATTAACTTACTTTCCTTTGTATATCCTTCCAAGAAAAGTTACGCGTTTGTATGCAGAATGTAAATATGTGCATATCCCTTTTAAAGTTCACACAAAGGGGATCGTATTCTGTATGTTGTTTTACACTTGTTTTTATTCACTTCATGTATCTTGAGGATCTCCCCACATCCGCACACACAGGCCTACCTTATTCTTTTGCATCACTTCATAGAATTATATTTTATTCTGTGATATTTAAAATTGACTTATTAATTGGTAATATTCATAATACGAAATTTGGAGTGTATAAAAAGCTGGGCCAGGAAAAGTAAGTATCCCTCCGCCCTTCAGCCACTCAGTGTCCTCCCTCTGTAGGCAGCCAGTTCCCACTGCATCCTTCCAGAAGTACATACCTTGCAGTGTACCTGTGTGTATGTGTGTGTACATAGCATGTATATACGTTTGTATACGTACACATTTTTTTTACACAGAGATTATTTGCTAGACATCCTACTCTGTACCTCGCTTTTTCCATTAATATTTGTCTCCATATGTATGTTGTGTTAGTACACACACAGCTATTTCATTCTATTGGGTGGCTGAGGAATATTCCATTGTATGGAGGCACCATAATTTTTTCAGCCAGTCTCTTCAAGGATTTAGGTGGTTTCCAGTCTTTTGTTGATACAAATCACACTGCAAAAAATATATATATGCCATTTGGCATGTATGTATCTATAGGGTAAGTTCTAGAACTGAAACCACTTTGTCAAAAGTCCTGGCCTCCCGTAATGTAACTAGTCTTCTAAAGAGGGACCTTGAGGTTGGTACGTGGGTTTTGCTACCATAAACAGTGTGCATTTATGGTTTTGTGTGTGGGGGCTAGTAGATCAGGTTTATTTCATGTAGTTTCTATACAGGAATCCAACTTAGAGCAATAGGTTCCTGCTTCTTTATAAAGTTCCTGTAGGAACTTTAATGAGTGAAAACTGCCGCTGACTGGAGCATTGTGCTGGTGGTGCCCTTACCAGGCCTGAAATTATTGTATAGTTTGTTCTGTCCGGTGTTTTGATATTTCGTTTAGACTTTTCACTGATTGTAGTAAGATACTACAAACTAGTATATTTACGAAGATACTTCTAAGCAAAGAACCCTGAGTCCCAGTCATCCCAAAGACTGATTTTTATGACCTTAAATTTTTGATTGTAAAAACAATAAGCAGGTATAGTACATGGCAGTTAATACATCTAAAAGGAGAAATAATAAATTCAGGAACATTTGCTGTTATCAAGATATTTCTCTCTCTGTGAAAGTAGAAATTCAGTTAATCCGTGTACCTCACAACAGTTAGAAATGCTCCATTCTTCAGGGTTTCCTGAAGGTGCCCGTCTGGTGGTACCAGCCTTGGGGGCCCATGGGTCACTGGAAGAGTCATCCGGACCAGAGGACCGGTACCCCTTCTCCAGGTGGGGTCTGGAGGGCTGCTTCCACCCAAGGTGAGAACAGAATTGTAGCAGCTGGCATGTCATAAAGAATAGAATGGCTGCTTCCACTCTGAGAGGCCGATGAAGTTTGTGTCTTAAATGTAAGGTTGAAAAATCAAAACCTATTAAAACCATAGAATGCTTCTCCCTGCCGCTCCCCCTGCTTGTGCTCTCTCTCTCTGTCAAATAAATAAATAAAATCTTTAAAAAAAAAAAAAAAAAGGAAAAAAACACAAATTAATTTCCTTCCTAACTAAATGAAGAGAATATATTTATGGTAGGACCGACTTTATATATTTTTTTCTGTTTATTATGTTTTACTTAATTAGCCTTTTTAGTGCCTTGAAGTAACATACACTTAATATTTCTTTTTACCTTTTAAACCTCAGTACTGAAATTAACATAAGTGAGTCACATTTTTATCCCTTTACTGTCAAGCTAGGGTTATCTGTGTAGAGCAGTAAAATACTTCGTATTGAATTACCTGTGAAATTGGCATTAAGTTTTTTTGTTTGTTTGGGTTACGTGAGACAGGCACTAATTCTAAAAATACTTTGGTGGTAGAATAATAATTACATGTACAATTGCATATAAACTTAAAAAGCAGTGTCTTTCTCCATGAAAGTAAACAGTTCATTTTTTGATAGTCCTTCTATATCACAACATCTGGGAAATAGTCTTTCATTCCTGAGTTTCCTAAAAGTATCTTCCAGGTGGTGCCAGCTCCTGGTGTCCTTAAGACAGAAGAACCACTCAGGAAGAGAGCTTTTTCACTTGATTTACTTAATCTAATTTCTTAGTTATGTATTAGCAGTGTGCCTAGCAATCAACAGAGCAAAAATGAGTGAAGTTATTCTGAATTTTAAATTTGGTTACCAATTTTTATATCTAGAATTTTAGATAAGAGAACATTTTGTTTTCACCTTTTAAAAGTAAATGTAGAAAGTCCTTCTTATTGTCAATGATTCTTTCAGCCGTAAACATTTATTGGCCATTTACTGTGTGGCAGCCACCATCCCAAGCACTGGAGAGACAAACAGGATAGATCCCGTTTCTTGAATGGGGCTGTGCTAAAACTGTAACACCCAAAACACGGTGTGTGTTTCAGAAATAGGAAGTAAATACAGTCCACACTCCTTTCTGACACCTGCCTGTGTCCTCTGTAGGCGCTCCTGGTGACCTGCACGGGGAGGTTTCCCTCCGCTACTTGGGGGACCTCGAGATCTCCGAAGATGCCACCCTGGCAGAGCTGAAGTCCCAGGTCAGGCTTCTTCCTGTGGCACACGGTAGTGGTGGCCCGGCTTCTTCCAGTGAGATATTAATAATACCTTCTTCTATTTCCTTTTCCCTCACTTGCAGTCTGTTCTGATAGGGCATGTGTTCTGTGCCACGTTCAGTGGTAAGTACCCGGCAGGCACGCCCGCATTCGGCTCACACAGCCCTGCTGCTTGTTTCTGCCACTCGTCCTGTGGCTGTCATGTGTCCCCACTCAGACGGGCATGCTGTGTGCTTTCATTTGAATTCCTCCTCAGTGACTTGCCGCTTATGTTCATTTTGATTTCTACGGGAAACATGATGTATTGACACATCCGTAAAGCATTCACTTTACCCCTTTATTTACATTGTTTTTGTATCATTGTGATCCATGTGTTAAATGTTTTCAGTTTAAAGATGTGTTCTAGGATGTGTAACAAGATACTATATCCTTTTCTTACATACTCACATTCCTAGTGAGAGAGAGTGTTAGGTCCAAATGGAAAGGCTGAGCTGCGTAGGACACAGAATGCTTCAGAAGCATCTTACTGTCGTCGGGGCGCACAACGCGAGTATCAGCCGTCGATATTGGACTTTCCTGTGTGTGCACAGCGTTTGAGATAACCTTCCTCGAAAGAAGCAAATGGTTGCCATGAGACAATGGCAATTAAAAAAACAAATTTTTTTTTGTATTGGATTGAGAAACACAAAATTGCTGTTTTCAGATAAAAAATGAATATTGGCCATTTTATATATATCAACCTCAATCTATAAATAGCTACCTGCCCTGCACACCAAGTACAGAAGTTTAGGCACAGCAGTCGCGTCCAAAGATTCCGGAACATTTCAAATGGAAGTTCTTTCACTGACAGAGCCAACTTTGAGGAACTAACTATACTAGCACTAAAGGAAGTGGAAGGTGAACCCCCGTTTTTCGTTAGAGCTCTTGCGAGTTATACTCACATAGAAATTAATTTCTGAGTTTCACTTTCTGAAATAGGATTTAAAAGGAGCTTTTGGCTCATTGGGAAATCCACTTATCCCTCAAGCTGGCTTCCCCAGAGAGGAAGACAGAAGTGACTGGATGGATTTCATTTAAGAGACCGCCCTGGGATGTTTTTTTTAATAGAGTTTATCATTCCTCGAGGCACTCCTCCCTCTGACGTCCCTGTGTAGTGCTTCGTGTCTTCCTAAAGCAGTGTGTGTGTTCGGAGAGCTTCTTAAACCATTGGAGAAATGTCTTGTTTCCTTTCTAGGCCATGACCTTGTCCTCCTCCTCGGAGTTCGTCATCCCCTCCCCAGCCTTCCTCAGAGCCTGGACCGTGGAGAGCCAGCGCCCCGGCAGGCTTTTACGAACCAACCGGCAGCAGCTCAAGTAGGTTCCTCACGGGAAGCGCCGTCTTTCCTCCGCCGCGAGGGCCCGGCAGGGGGGAGGCGGGCGGCCTGCTGTCGGCTGGATGACTCCTCCAGTCACACACTCTGGGGCTTTCATTTTCCATATTAAGCATAAATGTAGCTCCGTGTATTTTTACTATGCTGCAGATACCATGAACGAAATGTTGAGTTTTTCGAGCTTTATTGGGATATAATTGACGTACAGCGCTGCGTATGTTTAAAATGATTGCCGCTGTGGTGCTAGCCAGCCCCTGGGTAGCGTCACGTAATTACCGTTCCTTTGTTGTCATAAGAACATTCAAGATCTACTCTCTGAACAACTTTCCAATCTGTCACACGGTGTTGTTAACTATAAGCACCATGCTGGACATGAGAGGCTCCGAACTTACTTCTCTTGTAACTGGAAGTCTGGCCTCTCTGACCAGCATCTCCTTTCCCCCACCTCGCAGCTCCTAGAAACCGCCATGTACTCTCTGTTTCTATGAGTTTGGCCTTTTTAGATTCCACATGTATGTGAGACCATACAGGATTGGTCCTCCTCTTCACACTTCACTATTAGTCTCATGCCCTCAAGGTCAGCCATGTTGTCACAAATGACAGGATGTCTCCCTTTCTTGTGGCTGGATGATACTCCCCCACCTGCCTGTCCATCCATTCATCCATCCATCGACGGACGGCGCTTGGGTTGTTTCCATGTCTTGGCTGTTGTGAACAGTGCTGCTATGAACATGGGAGCGCAGATAGCTCTTTTGAAATTGTTTTCATTTCCTTCGGATACAAACCCAGAAGTGCTAGGTCATATGGGTAGTTCTATTTTTAAATTTTTGAGGAACCTCCAAAAAATTGGCTTCACCAATTCACATTCCTACCAGCAGTGCACAAGGGTTCCCCTTTCCTCCATGTCCCTGCCAACATTGATCTCATCTTTTTGGTGCTAACCATTCTGACAAGGGGGAGGAGGTCTCTCACTGTGGTTGTGATTTGCACTTCTTTGATGATGAGTGACGGTCATGTACCTGGGGGCCATCTGTAGATCTTCTTTGGAAAAGTGTCAGTTCCTCTGCCCACTTTTTAATGGTACTGTTTGGGGTTTTTTTGCTCTTGAGCTGCATGGGTTCTTTATTAATCCTCTATCACATGATTTGCAGATTTCTTCACCCATCTCATAGGTTGCTTTTTCATTTTGTTGATGGTTTCCTTTGCCGTGCAAAGGCTTTTTAATTTGATGCAGTCCCACTTGCTTATTTTTCCTTTTCTTGTCTTTCCGTTTGGTATCAACTCCAAAAAATCATTGCCAGGGCCAGTGTCAAGGAGCTTACCTCCTGTGTTTTCTTCTAGGCGCTTCATGGTTTGGGGCCTTACAGTCTAGTCTTTAATCCGTTTGAGCTGATTTTTGGGTATGGCGTAAACTAGCAGTCCAGCTTCATTCTGTCCCATGTGGCTGACCAGTTTTCCAGCACCATCTACTGAAGAGACTGAGACTGTCTGTTCCCCGTTGTGTGCTCTTGGCTCCTTTGTTGTAAATTCATCGGCCATATGTGCATGGGTTTATTTTTGAGCTCTCTCTGCTTTTCATTGATCTTTGTGTCTACTTTTACGCCAATACCATACTGTGTTGATTACTGTAGTCTGAAATCAAGAAGAGTGATGCCTCCAGCTTTGTTCTACTTTCTCAAGATTGCTTTGGCTCTTCGGGATCTTTTGTGGTTCCATACAAACCAATACAATAGGATTGGTTTCCTATTTCAGTGAAAAATGCCATTGAAATTTTGATGAAGATCGCATTGAATCTGGAGATCACTCTGGGTAATGTGGACATTTTAATAATATTCCAGTTCATGAACATGGACTATCTTTCCATTTCTTTGTGTCTTCAGTTTCTTTCATCAATGTCTTACAGCATGTAGATCTTTCACCTCCTGGGTTAAATTTATTTCTGCATATTTTATTCTTTTTGATGTGCTTGTACATAGGACTGTTTTCTTAATTTGTTTTCCTCATAGTTCACTGTTAGTGTATAAAATATTAAGTGATTTTTGTATCGTGATTTTGTATCCTGCAACTTCACGGAATTTATTTAGTTCTTTGGTGTTTAGGGTTTTCTACATGGACTGTCATGTCATCTGTAAGTAGAGGCAGTTTTACTTTTTCCTTTATAATTTGATGCCTTTTATTTCTTTTCCTTGTCGAATTGCTCTGGGTAGGACTTCAGTAGCGCGTTAAGAGTGGCGAGAGCGGGCATCCCTGCCTTCTCCCTGTGGTGGGGACAGGCGTGCAGACTTGCAGCGCTCAGTGGATTAGCTGCCGGTGTCTGGCCTTTATTGTGTCCAGTTAGGTTTCTTCTCTACCCGGTTTGTTCAGTGTAGTTGTCATGAGAGGATGTAGAATTTTGTCAAATGCTTTTCCTTCATCTGTTGAGATGATGATTTGATTATTTTTTTTTAATCCTTCACTTTGTTACTGTATCACAGTGATTGATTTGCAGACATTGAACCACCCTTGAGTCCCTGGAATAAATCCTACTTGATCGTGATGTAGGAGTTGGATTTGGTTTGTGAATATTTTGTTGAGTGTTTTTCCATCTATACTCAGCGGGGATATTGGTCTGTAACTTTTCTTGTAGTACCCTTGTCTGGTTTTGGTATCAGGATAACCCTGGCCTTGTGATGGCTCTTCTGTTTTCTGGAGAGCTGGGGAAGGATTGGTATTAATTCTTGAAATGTTTGTTAGAATTCACCAGTGAAACCATCTGGTCCTGGACTTCTCTTTGTTGGGAGGTATTTGATTACTTACTCAGTTCCCTTACTAGTAATTACTCTGTTCAGATTTTCTATTTATGACTTAGTGCGTTCCAAGATCTATCCATTTCATCCAGCTTGTCAGCATCTACTTGTTCATAGTAGTCTCTCAGATTTTGAGTGTTCTTACCCACTATAATCTTTTGCTTAAAAAAGAAAGCTTAGTATTTTTCCCAAAAAATCTAAAAAATTAAATATATCACTCAGTATTATTTTGTTTCATTTCTTTTATCAGGGAATACAGACTGGGAAGGAAAACTGAGGTCTGCTTAGAGCTCCTTCAGAAAGAAGAAAATTTGGGGTAAGTCAGACCCGCTTCTGTGTCCTTGTCTTATCATGGTGGGTAGTTTCTTGAAAAACTTAACAGTATGCTCGGTAGTAAAGGGTTCGTCCCCACTGCCTGAGCCGCACAGCAACTTAAACCAGACTGTGTTCTACAAATGCGTTTGTGCGTCTGGCATCTGGAAGTTGGAGCTCATCTTTCCATGAAAACCATGAGTCACAAATGCATATTGACTCCATAATGATCTCAAAGTGTATGCAAGATGCTCCTTCCCAGCCCTTATCTGTGCCCCGAGACAGTCTGTTCTCAGCACCTGTCCCCGCCCCCTTACCCTGCTTCTCATCGTCACACCACCTGACGTAGGAGATAGCCGTGTGTGACGTAAGTTCTGCACTCGCTGCTCTGTCCCCACTACCTGTGTCGTAGTCAAACCTTCCTATTTCTTTTTTCATTATACGAAAATCTTGTATAAGACCTTCTGTCAGCATCACCAAACAGTAAGGTTGCCTCTACCTGATGTGACGGAAATACCATTCCTGCTGCTGTGTAGGAACCAGGAGCTCTCCTTCAGCCACGTCTAACCTTCACTTAACCCCACTGCTTTTATAAAAGTGCGTTCTCACAGGAAACTATTACCAGGAATTGTTTCCTGGAGGGGGATTTCTGGATCAAACTGGTATGAACATTTTAAACTTCTTAAAACTGTTCGGTTCCTTTCCAGGTAAGTTATTCCAGTTTATGTTCGCACAAGCAGTGTTCCTGAGTATTTACTTCACCCTCAAACCAACACTGAATATTTTCATTGTTTAATTGTTTGCTAAATTGATCAATGAGGAAATGGTTATGTTGTCTCATTTGCTTCGGTGCTTTGATTGCTAGCAAGAGCGGGCATTTTTCCCAAAAGCTTATCATTTTTTGTAAAGGTGTCTCAGAAAAGTCGAATTTGTGAGAGCTTTCTGAAACAATGACATTGACCCTTTGTCCCGTTCTTGTAAGCGGTGTCCCTTTGAAGACCGTGCAGGGCACTTGTTTGGCCCGCTCCCGCCCAGCCAGGCCCGCTCTCTCCCTGGGGCCGTTGCCTCCAGTGGTTCCTTTTCTCCCATCGGTGTCACCCTTTCTTTTGGTAAAAGCACCCCTGTAACCGAAATATAACTGAAATCCAGCATGTAAAATCGCACACGGTCTCAGCAGCCTAGACGCACATACACGCTTTCCCTTCTCCCTCCCCACCTTCCGGCCGGCGCCTCCTGTCCTGTAACCGGCTCCATACATCTGACTTTCTGCCGGGCCCCCCCTTCCAGCACTGAGCCCTCGCTTGCTTCTCCCTGGCCACCCCACCATAGCTAACGGAGCTTTTGGTTCTGAAAGCAGCCTCTCCTGGGGCGCAGCTGCGGGTCAGGGCAGAAGGAAAGCAAAGTAGAGAAGAGGGTTAGCGGGTCTGGGGACAAATCTGTCCTTCTAAAAACCAGAAGAGTCGGAGTCGAGGGGAAGCTTCGCCCATCACGCTCCCCCATGGTTACTGCGAACTTACTCTGTTTGTTTCCCGGCGCAGCCCCCAGGACGTGGTGCTAAGGACGCGGATGCGCCTCCCCGGCGAGAGGGCCTACGCCCCGTGCGTGGACCTGGTGTGGGACACGGCCCGAGGCTGGACGGCTGGCTCCCTGAGGCAGCGAGTCGCCCACTTCTGCTCTCTTCCCGCGGAGAAGATTGAAATTGCCAAGTACTTCCCCGAAAAGTTTGAGTGGCTTCCGATATCGAGCTGGGTAAAGTTGCAGGCTTTCTCCGGGACACTGGGCCTTCCTGGCATAGTGAATGGGTTAAGGGCCATTTTTCACACATAGGGAACTTAGTAAGAATGTGAGTTTTCTTTATTCAAGATGCTTGATTTTTCTATAGAACCAGCAACTTACCAAGAGGAAAAAGAAAAAGCAAGATAATTTGCAGGGGGCGCCTTATTACTTGAAAGACGGAGACACAATTGGTATTAAGGTAAGTTATTTAACAGCAAATTTACCACTTCAGTAAAACACCAGGATCATTGACTTTACAGAGAAGTTGTATCAAATCTTCAAGGCTCAGATAATCCTGTCTTCTGTACATTGTTTCAGAGAATGGAAAACGAGGGAAAGCCAGACCACTCATTTCATGAGGCCAGTAGAACCTCAGTATCAAAACCTTAATCTTGGGTTGGACTTGCATGAAAATGCTTTTGAAGTTTTATCCCAAAGTGCATTGCTGTAGGTTTGGGGTAGGTCCTTGCATCAGGGTAAGACTTTCCTTCCCTGCCTAGTTTGCTCTTAAGTTCTTTTTTTTTTTTTTTTCCAATCCTGAGTGAGCACTTGCCATATAAAATTCCCGCTGTTTCTGCACCTGTTGGATGAGCTCTCTGGCTGTCCGTCTTTAGTGTGGTGTCTGTTACATAAGGTGACAGAGCCGTCCTTGCCTGCCGTAGGCAAGCCTACTTTGTCACATAGTGATATTTGTATATTAAGAATTAATAAGTTTAATCCTTGATTTAAGGATTAAATTGCTAATCGATATTTTCACACCAAGGAATAAGCATTCCCTTAACCATCACTTCAGCACTGTGCTAAACAGGGTGGCGTGAGCCTCCTCCCCCCAAAGAAAAGTAAATAAACGTTGAGAGAGAAATAGAGGAGATTCTCAGAGGAAAGCATAAAGCTGTTCTCTGTGCAGGAGACCGTACGGACAGCCGGCGCTGGTGTCCCCCATGTCCGTAAAACCCAGGGTGCGGCGCGCACAGCCGGGGAAGGGGACGGGCGGGGGCTTCTCTGAAGCACCGGCCGTGACAGCATCAACTGGAAGGGACGGGGGCGGTTACAGTCAATACGCTGGAGCTCCGTGTGAGCGTGGAGACGGCGCGTGATTGGGTGTTGAAAATAGTCACAGCAGGGTCCCTCACCGCGAACGTAAAGCCTGTAACATGCTGAGCGTCACGGAGGGTCATGCTCCCGGGTAGTCGTCAAGGCCAGGGGAGGACGGGAACAAGAGTGCTCACCCCTGCGGAATGGCAGAAGGCCAGCGGCTGAATCTGTGGGTTTTCCTTGAAAAATGAAGCAAGTAGGGTCAAAGCTTAATACTGTTAATAGCGAACTTCCACTGAGCGTTTTTTTCCTGTACGGAGCACCACGCGCATCCACACGCGTAGCTCCATCGAACTCCCAGGACAACGGTGGGAGGGGCGGCTGTCTCGGGATGGGGAGGTGACGTGCTGGCGTGGCTGGACCCCCGGGCCCCACGCCTGCGCCACGCTGAGGACCCGGGTGTCTGTCCCGTTACCTCTACGTTCTTACTTCGTAGCGTTCGACGCTTTTTAGAAAGCACAGCACACACAGCTGCTGGAATACAAACATACGCACCTTTGATTGAAATAGAGGTCCGCACGGTTGTTACGTTCTTCTCCCCTGGGAGCCACGTGTGGACGCAGCAAGACCCTCCCGCGGCTCCGCAGGAGCCGGTCACCTCTCCCAGAGGCACACGAGGGAGGTGATGAGTCCTTCCTAGGGCGCCGCTCGGGGGCGCCGCTGGCTGAGGCAGGCCTGGGGGCGGCCTGTGTTGATGGGGGATGACATCGTGTATGAAACCGACTACGAGCCCCTCAGGAGACCGTGGGGGAGGCCAGGGGGTTAGCAGCCCAGGCTCACGGGGTAGCTGTGGACACGGTGACAGTGCTCCGCCAGGGGTGGTCCCGTGCCGGCTCTCCATGCGGCCTTGGTGGCCGGAGGCAGAGATCCGAGGGCTGGCAGAACATTCCGGTGCCGGCTCTTCGTGCCCCCTGCTGAGCTGGTTCCCGGCACTGGGCTCATCGGTGTCGGTTGTTTAGGTAAATTCGGACAGCCTCAGGATGAGGTCTTTTTTACGTATATCTTAAATGTAGACTGAAAGGATGTCTGAAAACACCGTTCATTCGTTGTTTTGAAATGTAGAATCTCCTGGTTGAGGATGACGAAGACTTCAGTACAGTCGCAGATGACCTGGGAAAGAAAAGGTACTGTCCCAGCTCTCACGCACGCAGCTGCTTCTGGAAGCCCCCGGGACGCCCTTGATGGCCGCTCGGAGCGCTGCTTTCCAGACGCGCTGGAAAGAAATGCAGCGTGGGGGGATTCGGTCACCCCCTAACCGGGCTTTCTGGGAACCTGGACAGGACACGGGGTGACCGCTCACTGTGAGGAAGCCCCCCGACCCCAGTCTTGGGAGCTTCCTTCCTGCCCTCTCAGCCCCTCACCACCTGCTGGGTCTTCTTCGGACCCCAGCGCCCTCCGCTGTCCGTCACCTGAACGAACGAGCACTTGCGATCACTCGTGCCCCAGCCGCTCCCTCCTCTGCCCGCCCGCCCGCCCGCCACCCTCTGTCCAGCCGGGGGTCCTCCACAGGCACGCCCAGCCCGCGGCCCGTCCTTCGGCTCCCTCCTCACTCTGCCTGTGGGGACTCCCTCCTTCCTCTTCGGCACATAGCCCAGCCCTCTCCCCTGGCTGCGGGCCACATCCACCTGCCAGAATCTGCCAGAACATTCCACCTCTATCAGTCCTTCGAACTCCACGTGCCTGGACCTGGCTCTCACCCCTGTATCCACGTACCCCCCCACCGCAGGCCACACCAGGGCTGCCCCTGTCCTCCTTACCTGCTCCCTGCCTCTAGTCTCCTGAAATCTTAGTCCTCAGTCAGCTTCTGGTGGGGGTGGGGGGTCTTCTTCCCTGAGTTACTGCAGTAGCCCCTGGTGTGCGCACCTGCCGGACCTCGCCCCTCCTCGCCCCTCCGCTGCCTCAGTCCAGCGGGGCCACAGAAAAGGGCCTGAGGAAGAGCGGGCCAAGGGGGAAGGAGGGTCACTCGGGCGAGCACAGCCGTAGCCAGTCATGGGGCTGGACGTTTCATGTGTGTGCGTGCGTGTACACGTTCTGTTGTGATTCAAAAGGTACGCGGCGCCTGGGTGGCTCAGTCGGTTAAGCATCCGACTTTTGGCTTTGGCTCAGGTCCTGATCTCAGGGTCGTGGGATTGAGCCCCGCGTCGGGCTCTGCGCTCAGCGGGGAGCCTGCTGGAGATTCTCCCTCTGTCCCCCCCCCCCCTTCACTGTCTCTCAAAAAAATAAGAGGTGAAGGTATGTTCTGCTGTGAGACCTTTTCACCTAGCAGGTCGGAAAGGACCCCAAGTCTGACCCGCCGTGTGGACAGGGTGCAGGAACCCACTCCTGACTTGGGGTGGCCGGGGGGCGAGGTATAAATTGAGGTCTTCCGACTGAACAGTCTGGAAACGCCTGTCAGCTGCAAACACATCCCTGTGGCCTGTTCTAACTTGACGGGAGTCCTTCCAAAGCCCTTGACCAGGTGAGGCCCGCAGTGGCCAGGTTTGAGTCGGTGACCCCCTCTTGTGTCTCCCACAGCCAGGAAGCCCTTCGTGTGCAGAGCAGTGACCTTTCCTCCCATGCCAGGACGCCCGGCCGGCCCCGTGCCCCAGAAGCTTCTCTCTCCATCCACGTGGGGAGTTTCAGATAGCGCGGGGGGCGGGGGGCGTGCGGGCAGGCGTGGCGGTTTTCTGCCTTCTGCAGACACGGACTCCGAGTCCTGCCCTTCGTCACCAGCAGGGGCCTTCCCGCCTCAGGCCAGCCAAGTGCACGTTATCCGGGGGCTGACCCCGACCCCGGCCGCCGTTCGTAGAAGAAAACTCGCTAGTTTTGCATTAACCGCGGGCACGGATAAAATGGCACAGCGCTGAGCCCGGACCCGTCTGCTGCGTGAAGCCCGCACGTTGCCCCTTCCGGGCCTTACCCTGCTCGCGGGAGGCCTGGGGGCCTGAGCGGACGACGGCTCCCGGCGGGCGGGCTGTTTCCGGCCCCTCGGCGCGCCAGCCCCCTGCGGTCTGAGTGGAAACGGACTCTGAAGCCCCCGCCGCCTTTCCAGCTAAAGGAAGGGGACGCACGGCTCGGTGCGTCCTCGGCTGCAGCTGCGCGGCCGGCGGCCGTGACCGCAACGTTCTGGCCGCCTGCACGCGCCGCGGCCTCTCGGTGCCTGGAGGCTCGGTGGTGGCGGACGAGCCAGCGTGGCCTGAGTCGCCTCCGCGCCGGAGACAAGACGTACACCGGGACGGTGTTCCTCCCCCCGAAGCACGGCCCGCACCTATTCCCGGGCCGGCCGACGGCGCCGGGGGGGGGCTCACGGCCTCAGAGTCCGGCCGGGCCGCAAGCAGGGCTCCTGGCGGGGAGCTCTTCGCTCTCCTAGGCCGGGTGAGGCTTCCGAGCCGGCAGGACAGCCGTGAACCGGTCTCGGCCGCGCCACGGCTCCGGCGGGCGAGGTGCGCGTGGTGGCGCCCCGGGTTGAAGGGCCGCGGCCGCGGGGGGCGGGGTGCAAGCCGCCCGGTGCCTTTACTCTGACCGAAGCCCCTCGGTCTGCCCCTTCGTCTTACGGAGGCCAAGCTGTGAAGCACTCGCCGGAGGCCGCGCCTCCAAGGACCCGGCCAGGAGCCTCAGGCGGCTCTGCGCGCCTTCGCTGTGGGCAGGGGTGGGGCTCGGGGGGGCTCTAAGAGTTTGTTACACCTTAGGTTTTCGGGTCGTGGTCTCCCCGTTTCTGCACCAACTGTTGCACGTTCTCCTGGGCTTCCCCCCCCGCCCCCAAGTGCACTTCAGATGCTAAATAAACGTTTATTCTTCAGAAATACCATATTGGCGCTGCTTCAGAAGTAAGTATGTTTGGGTGAATTCAGACTCAACGGGAAACTGTAGCGGAAGACACTGCAAGTGATCTGGTTTTCTGTCCCTTCCAGGGAAAGAGCAGTGGCAAGGGTAGTTCATTACAGAAAACCTTTTTTCCACTAGGACATTTTTCTGGCACAAAAAGCGGGGGGAGCACAAGAATTTCTGGATGATCAAAAACCATGGCTCCGCAGATGCCCGTGTCTCTCTGGAAGGCACTCGGCCGTGAAGGACTAGAGCGGACGCCCCCACCCCTGCGCGCCCCGCTCCTCCCGGTCTGTGCTCCGCCGCACACCACGCAAAGCCCGGTCAGTGAGAGAGACCCCAGATTTACTCACCTCCAGAGGCGCCGTCAAGCGAGGAGAGCCCTACACAGAGGAGGAGAGGCTTCTGGCCCCCTGCGGTTGCCCCACTGCCCTCTGTCCCCTCCCCCGCCCGCCCCGCATCCGTGCGGGGGCAGCCACTCGCCACGGTTGCCTTGTGTCACTCGCTGCAGTGTAATGGCCAGGACCCTTCACTTCCAGGTGCCTAAACTCACCTCGGGCCCCTCAAGCGCCCACAAGCAGAGCTGCACTCAGGCCCACGGGGGGCTGTCGCCCGCGGGCCCCGTGCCCTGGAGCTGGGAGGGGGCGGGGCGTGGTTGCCCGGAGGGAGCGCGGCGGCCCCAGGTCCTGCACCCTGGCTGACCACCCCCCTGCCGGGCTCCTCCCGTTCGGACGCTTCAAAGAGGACAGCACCCACCGTAATTCCGGCCGCTGTTCTACCTACAGCCTGACCACCCTCGTGTCCCCAGCTCAGGTCTGAGGTCTCCGGGCCACACTGCTCTGGGTCGGGTCCAGCGGACGTCTGTCCTCACAGTTCAGCAAGCAGCGCCTGAAAGACAAGGGTAAATCAGACTCGGAACCAGCGTACAAAGGGCATGAGGAGGACCGCAACAAAACCTCTCTTCTGGAGAACGAGTGCACAGGGGCCGCGGTCAGGACCCACGCAGCCAGACCGCGACCCCCGGGCTCCCAGTCCTGCCCCAGAGGCAAACCCTCACTTACCCCTCAGGTCACCCTGCCGCCCTCCAGAGGACCTCGATGTCTGGTGTCCCGGCGTGGGCGTTGAGAGGACTCCCCTTTGGGGTAGCACCCCTTGGACTCTGTCTTCCTGAGTGTGCACGTCCTGGAGGCCTGGGATGGATGACCCTAGGGGCTGAGTGACCAGCGTGGGACTTGGCGACACGATTTCTGGGAGTGCTCAGGAAGCTCGAGGTTGATCTGTTTCCATCAACAGCGTGAGCAACAAAGCCTTTAACTCCCAGCCAGCTGGCTTTCTTCTACGTGTTTTGCAAACCTGGTTTGCTTTTGCCGTGCCCTACGTCCTGCTCCATACAGATGCACGTTCTAAGGTCAGGACCTCAGGCTGAGCTGATGGGTTCAGAGCTGCCACCCCTGGTGTGAGCAGCTCCTCCGGCCAGGCCCACGCTGGTGCTCTCAGACCACAGCTTCAGGGAGGCCTCCGCGCACCACAAACACCTGCCCCACGTGTGCACCTGTCTGCCCCAAAGTTTTCTTTGTACCGGTTCACCCATCCCCTTAGGGTCCCGGCCCTTTTGGCCTCACACCTGAATAATAGGTATAACCGGTGTCTCCACATGCTTTCACTCTGGCCTTCCCAAGTACAAGATCTTTGTGGAAGGACTGCTACAGGGATTAGGTTTAACTCAGAGACAAAACAAGACACTCATAGAAAAGAAGGGTGGTGGGCGGGAGCAGGGAGGGGGCCGGGAACTTCGTGGAGACCGGGCTTCTGTCGCTGCCACCCTCAACACGTGTTTCCATGCTCACCACCCTCCCATGGCCCAGGCTGGCTGCTGGAGCGCCACCCATCATGTCTACCCTCCAGCCTAGCAGCAAGAGGAAAAAGAAAGGCATCTCCATGTTTTAAAGGAAACTTTCTGGAAATCTCAATACTTAGATTTTTTTGTCCATGACTTGGTCACATCACTAAGTGACCTCAGAGGAGATTTGACTGCAGAGGAGACTGGAGAATGTGGTCACATTCGCAGGGGGTGTATTTGGGCACAGTGCATGACGCAGATGATGTGGGCATCCGTTAGTGGTGCAGGAGATAGAAAACTGATGTTTATAGGCATCAGGCAGTGGCTTCCACAAGTGCCAGAGTCTGAGCTTCTAATATTCACAACTAGATTATGCACCAGTGGGCCAGGACTCCGGGAAGTGGGGGCCTTGGGTACAAAATTTGAAGGTGCTCAAAAAACTGAGTAGTCAACAGATCACTTTCTAATAACAGCACTTTTAGAAATCAAAATTAATGCAGAAAAATCCACAATGAACAAAACATTAAAACGTTAAACACAGGATCAGTACAAGTTAAAAGTCCTGCACGTCTACGGGCGCCTGGGTGGCTTATCTGGTTAAGCGCCTGACTCTTGATTTCGGCTCAGGGTCATGAGATTGAGCCCTTCATCGGGCTCTGCGCTGGGCATGAAGCCTGCTTGAGGTTCTCTCTCCCTCTCTCTGCCCCCACTCACCCCACCCCCCTCACTCACGCTCTTAAAAGTCATGCAAGCCTAGATACTATCTTTAGGAAAAAATCTAAGTCCTTGCATTCTGCAAGCACGTCCGCAACCAGCTGCATTCCCAGGGCTCTCCCTCGGCAGGCGAAGAAACACTGAGTTGGGGTCAGAAGAAGAAACACCAAGAACCAAAGTTCCCCATTTCATAAAGGATTGTGGGACAAAGAGAGGGGTAAGGAGGAGGAGACAGCGTCCAGATGTGTCTCAGTTTCCTCTCTAGCTCCCTCGCCCCCAGGCTGAATTTCCCCAAGCCCCCCTTGGCCATCATGCAGTGTAGACGCTCAGCTGGGAGCCAGCAGAGTAGCCTCAGGGCCCGCGGCAGAGGCCAGAGTTCAGGAGATGGAGGCCACCCCCCCACCTGAGAGCACCACCAGGAACGCTGCTTGGGGCCGAGGACAGTCCCTGGGTCACAGACGTCAGCCTCCAGGTGCAAGGGGAGCCTCCCAGGCCGCAGGCGGAACACTGCTGACAGCTTGAGGCTCGAGGACACCCTGCCTGTCCCCTCAGGGATATGGGCCCCCCTCCTTCGAAATACCTGGAATCCCCTGGTGGAGGAATGCAGGGCAAGGTGTGCGTTGACTGAGGGACCTTCCCCCCGAGGGGCCCTGAAAGCAGAGGGGCCCCAGAGCAGAGACGGCTAGTGATGAGCAGAGTCCGTGCGCGGCCCCCCGCTCGCACACAGCAGCCGGGCATGGCGGGGGCGGGCGGGCCCCCACGTGTTTGCATTTCCAACCACCTACGTCCAGGTGGGCTCGGGAAGCCTCACGCGCACCCCCAACCCCACCCCAGCGGGAAGGTGACGGCCAGAGCCACCTTGGCCACGACGGCCCAATCCCCGAGTGACAGCCCCGAGGAGCTGAAACACACCTGCCCTCGACTGTTCCGGGAACAAAAAGTACACTTCGGTCAAGCAGCCTGGCCTTCCCTCACTTGGGACGACGTCCGTCGCTAGACCAGATCGAGCCAACCGCGTAGGGCGTTTGGGGTTCTCTGGAGAATGACTTAACAGCAAGCGGCATCGGTTTAGAGAGGCTGCTCCCCTTTCTGCACACGCCGTCTGGGCCAGTCTGGCAATCGCATTACCCTCTGGGCTGGCGTCTGGCCTCCCCCTGCCCCACACGGTCTCCTGGAAGCCCCTGCGTGCTCTGTGGCCCGGCAGGGTGGAGGCCGGCAGCGCGCGGAGCCCACAGCAGCCCTCCCCAGACCCACGGCTCAGACGCGCAGGTGCGCCCCCACACCCACCCCCGGCGAGCCGTCCGGAGCCAGGCTTCCGGGCCAGGACGCCCGTGTGGGATAGTTCGGACCCGATCTTCTCACCTGTCATGTGCGCTGAGCTTGGTGTCAGGCCTGGGACACAGGACAGCACTCAAGGTATGACCTCAGGTATCCACCTGCCCCGTGACTCCCACCTTTGCCACCTGCTAGCCATGTGACGTGCAACAAGTTGGGAACCTCTCTGAGCCTGTTCCTCATCTGTAAGAGGCAGGATTGTTAGGAGAAATCAAGGAGTTAATATGTGCAAAGCACTGAGGCCAGCATCTGGCGTAAAATACCCTCAGTGTGTTAGCCACTGGTATCATGCATGATTAGTCCTCAGCAGCATGGCCCCATTCCTTCCACGTGGGTTTGTGTGCAATTCTAGACAATGAGACACAAGGGGAGGTCAGCAGAAGCCAGGGCTTCTGAACTGGTTCCTTTTATGTTAAAAAGAGATACAGAAGAGACAACCACCTGCTCACATACACCTTACCCTGTACTTGGCTCATATTTGGGTGTGATGCTTGGAGTGGTGGCAGCCATCTTGCAACCATGAGGCCTGATCCTGGATAGCCACATGGGAGGAGGGCATACACCACACCTGGGGCTCCGATGAGCAAGGAGGGAGGGAGAGCGAGCTGCTGGAGGCAACCAATGCATTCAAAGCCCACGCACCCCTTTTGTACCCCATCAGCCTCATTCTCAGTTCTGTGATACCAGTCGCCATTCCTCACCCCAGAGAACTGGGAGATGACAGAGTGACCTTGAGCTTGGAGAGGCTGCTCGCTTGGCATAAAGGTACTATGAGTTAAGTAGAGAGGTCAGAGAACTTCTGGTCTGCAGTTTTAGAGGAAAGATTTAGGAGGATTAGAGTATTTGCTTACATCACATGCCCTCAGTAGGCTGGTCCAGGCTGCATGTGACAGAGTCTGAACCTCAGCCTTACCCAGTGCCCTACCTCCTCGCTGAGCTTTTAATTCAACAGACCCAAGAACTCACACCCTAAGAAACACAATGGCTTTCCATTTTGTTCTTTAGCCACACCAATTCACCTTATTTTTAGAGTAAAAACCATAATCCTGAATCCAGTCTGGAAAGATTTGGGCAACTAATATCTTATGTCAAAGTACAAGGAATGACAACAAGAAATCTGACAACGGAAGATTTTATTTATACACAGAACAGCCTATTTACACCCCCAGATCGGGTATGTACACAGCGATACAGGAGACATTTGCTTCCACGGCGGGCACTGTATAAATTAAGATCATAAATATGAGGGGTAAGCCCCACCCGAGGGCACAAAACCTTTTCTCCAAGACTCCCCCCCCCCCCAGCCACAGCGGGGACGGGTCGGGCCAGGCAGAGAAGCAGCCCTACAGAGGGCGACACGGCGCCGGCCCCACAGCGATGCACTTCCACGCGACACTCACTTTTACTCCATTCACCTCTAACTTACTAGAATCAGAAAAATGGTTTTTACGTAAACAGTGTGTTTTCATCACTGACAACACATTAATTTTCAACACCATGCTTGACCCAACTCTCAGGCTTTCCCGAGAGTTGGCCGGGAGGGCCTGGGGTGGCCCCGCAGCTTCAGCCCCAGCCGCCGCCACCCCCCCTCGCCGCGTGCGTGCTTGTCCCTGGTCCCTGCCAGAGAGGACAGCGCACACGCCATTCTGGTACCGCAGGGTCGGGTCCCCACAGTCTCCTTCCTCAGCCTGTTCTACCTGGAAAGCCAGTGATTTCTGGTGGCCAGATGATCCCTCCCTGCCTTCCATGTCCCGAACGGGCCCCGGAACTCGGGGTGGGAAGGCCACACACAGCGGCCCTGCGGAGCACGGGCCTCTTCACCCCAAACCCAGTGCAGCCACTCCGCCCTCGGGACAGGAGCGGGCCGGGCGCCCGGAAGGCCAGCAGCAGGAGCACCCCCAAACCAGAGGCATGGGCCCGGCCGGGCTCACGGAGGGGCCCACCGTGCACACCAGTAAGGGGGGGGCACAGGGGCCTGCAAAGCAAGTGGCAAGTAGAGGCCGTTCAGCGGTGAGCTCCCTAGGGCCCCCAAGGGTGACCGGATGGCGCCGGCAGCCCAGTCCCCTCGCACGAACAAGGGGTGAAGCGAGCTCCGGCGGGGGGTGGCACGGCCTGCGGACGCTCAGCTCCGCCCCCACCCCCCCACCCCCCACTTTGGGGCACAGGGCCCTGGCTGGCAGCCGGACGCCGTTCCCCCGCCCGGGCCCAGGAGGGCTGGGGACGTGGGCCAGAGCGTCATGAGACAGAGCCATCCACGTGGTCAGAGACCGTCGGGACGCTGGCCCGGGACCAAGCCCGGGCACCCCCAGAACGGGGAGGGGAGTCTCCCCGGCGCCCAGGAAGCGCGCTCTCCCCCCAACAGCAAGCTCACGCAAACACGTCCTCTGTCTGTGGAGAGACAGGAGAGGCTACGGCGTCTCGGGGACAGACGTCCCACGTCAGCAGCTTGAGAGGGTACCAACCGGGACAAGGGACCACAGGCGAACGGGCAGGGGATGTGTCAGCCGAAGATCACAGCCACCCGGTTACTTGGCTTAAGGAGGAGCGGGTTTGCCTCCTCTCCGGGTCAAGTGAAAACGGACGGGCCTAGCGACGCGTCCCGGCGCTCTCAAGCCAGGAGGGGCAGGGTCGCTGTGACCGATGGTCAGTAAACGGGACGACAGCCGCGGGGGGCCCCGCGGGGCTGCTGCCAAGAACCAGGATGGCTGGCGGGCACAGACCTTTCCCGGGCAGGAGGCTGCCGGCTGGGCCAGAGTCTGCGGGCCCGGGAGATGCCACACGGTGCGCGAACACGGGGCTCGCGACGAGGAACCCGCTCGACGAACGCGGGCTGCCCGGGGCCCAGGAGGTCGGGCCCGGCCCGGGGCGCAGGTCAGCGAGAACGGAGAGGGGGCGGCGGCCCGCCCCCCACGCCGCCGGGCGGGACCAGGTGCTGTTTCAAAGGTAGCTGTGTTGGTGTGTCCGAGACCCCGGAGCAGTCACAGAAAGGGCATCTGCGAGGCTTCCCGTGTGGAGCAAAGGGAGTAGCACCATGAGAAGGGGCCGGCGCTGGGCCTGGCCTCAGTCGCGGGGGGCGCGGGGGACGCAGGCCGACAGGGCCAGGGCTAGGCCTCGGTGGCAGGAGTGCTCCGGCTCAGCTCCTTGATGCCACACAGGATCCTCTTCATGTGGCCCACCTTGGTCACGCCGAGGTCCTGCAACGAGAGGACAGCCCTGACGCCGCTTTCTGAACACCAGCGTGGGGGGGAACGACGAAGACAGTGACACCAGACGGAGATGGCACACGCGTGACGGGTCGTGCAGACGCCCACCACACCTCCCCCGCGAGCACAGCGTCCCCGCTGTCGTGCAGGACAGACCCGGGACGCTGGCCCGGCGGCGGCGGGTGGATGCAGGGACTGGACGAAGCTGCTGTCCAGGACGTCCCCGGGGAGCCCTTGCCCTCTCCGGACGCGGCTCCGGAAGCCCCGGGCTCAGGTTGGCCCGAGCGCGCACCCCGCGCCTCCGGCACTCGGGGCCCTGGCGGCCTGCGTCAAGCAAGTCTGTCGGTGCCGGTTCTCCAACAGCGTTCGTTCAAGCCTCTGTGTCACGTACTGGGGGTTCCCGCCATATTTCAGACAGTTTCGCTATTAAATTTGTTGCGGTCATCTGTGGCCAGTGATCAGGACTCACTGAAAGCTCAGATGACGGTTAGCGGTTTTTAGCAATCTAGGATTTTTTCGCTAAGGTAGGCACAGTTTTGAGATGTTCTGTTGTTGCACACTTAATAGACGGCAGCGTATCATAACCACGACTGTCGTGTGCACTGGAAACCCAACAGCTCAGACTCGCTTCCTCGCAGGGGTCTGGGACGCACCCTGCAGCATCTCCGTGGGGTGCCTGCATCAGCTCCATAGGGAGAGGGACCCCTGTGTGCTGGGGGCCGACGTCACACAGAGCTCTTCGGCTGACTCATTAGCACAGAGCTGTGTCCCCCAATAGAGTTTATTTTTAAGTGGGCTCCACACCCAATGTGGGGCTTGAACCCACAACCCTGAGACCAAGAGTCACACGCTCTACCCACTGGGCCAGCCAGGCGCCCCCCTCAACAGGATTTTTAATGTTAAAATAGTTCCCTTGTCCAATTAGCTTAAGAAAAGCAAGGTTCCCCCCATCACGTCCGCTTTGGCCTTGTCTGGCTGCGGCGGGTGGCGGCATGACTGCCAGGGCAGAGGTGGTCTCTCGGCCACCGCCATGCATCACCCGAGCCGCGCGCAAGAGAACCACGAGGAGAGCCCTGATGCTGGGACGTGGCCGGGTCAGAGGGAGGGGACAGAGAAGGGAGCACAGGGAAGCCGGGGCAGGTTCCCAGGAGACGCTGTGGAAGTACCTTGAGGTCCCTCCGCTCTAGGTGCAGGAGCTCGGAGCCCCGGATGTCGTGTCGCGTGAAGATGTCCTTATACTCACAGAGACTGAGGTGCTCCAGCCAGGCAGCAACCTCCTCTGTCCCCCAGAGGTGAACTGTCAGAGACGGAAAAGCACGAACGCAGTGAGTGCCCAGAGCCCAGCGCGAGGCAGGTGGCAGCCGGCGCCTGAGGCGCCCCAGCAGCAGGCATCCCAAGACGCCCCAGAAGCCAGCACCCACACGGCCCAGCAGCAGGTGCCCCAGCAGCAGGGACCCCCACGCGCCCCCAGCAGCCGGCACCCGCCGCCCAGGCACACGCGCCGCCCAGAGCCACGCAGAAAGCAGCGAGGAGCCACCCACTCTCCAGGGCAATGAGCTGCGGTCTGTTCCTGCCAGGCCGGCCAGCAGCCTGGCCGTTTGCCCCAGGTCCCAGGAGGGACCGGACCCCGCCAAGTACGAAACACCAATGTGACTCTGCTGCCAGGGCCAGGCCGCCCTCCTCTCCAGAGGGTTCACGTCCCTTCCGGTCCACGGCAGGAAGGGAAACAGGCAGAGATTTCACGTAGTAAGACCCACCGTCACTAAAAGAAACCCAACTGCTGGACAAACATGCGAAGAAGAAAAATCAGAGGGAGCGACCACTACCCACCAATCCAAACCCGGAGCTGCCCAGCACCTGAGAGCACTGGAAAGAGCCATGCTCAGAGCCCCAGTTTATGGACTCCCCCCAAAAACGTCCTCGAGTGCCATTTTCTATTGACTTCCCCGGCCGCAAGTGCTGGTGGCCTGGGGAAGCCACCAGTCGTCGCTGGGGACCAGCAGCCCCGCACAAGACTGGAGTGTGAGCTCTGTGTCTGAGTGTCCTGTCACCTCTGCTGTCCGCCTCCCCCCTCGCACCCCCAGTCCAGGGCAGGCAGGCAGCGTGGTGTCAGTCAGCGGAGTCCGCACCGGGAGCGACCCCGGGCAGGAGCGACAACACAGGGCCGGAAGCGCAGGGGCAGTTCCCTAGCCAAAGACAGACACCACGGCACGGGCCGCTACAGGGGTCGTGGTCGGGGACCACGGAGAAGAGCCGCGAGGCCACGGGAGAAAGCAGAGACCACAAGGTCCCCACAGCCGGCGTGGCCAGCCACAAGGACAGCAGGAAGGCAGGTACCCGGGGCTCCCAGGCTACTGCGAGCTTCTCTGTTCTTGCTGTTTTTCTCTTTCTTAAACTTCGTCACCAGGCGGAACTTGCCACTGCGGCTGCGTTTGGAAAGCTCCAGCATCACATTCTGTGGGGGAGGCGAGAGACAGGAGTCAGAGCCTGATGCAGCCAGGCCTGGGCCACGGCAGTCCGAGCGGCAGGGCAGGGGGCGGGGGCTCGGTCCCTGCTTTACTTACTCTGGTGTCCCCCTTGGTTTCTAGGCTTGCAGTGACTGGTTTGTAATGCCTTTTAAAGGTGGTTCCACAGTGATCACACAGTGTCTAATTTCACATTCAATTTCCTTCATTTTATAACGTGTGTTTCTCATGTGATTAAAAAGCTTTGTGAATATTACCTAAATACCAGTACATTCTACCAAGATTATCCAGTAGGTCACAGCCGATCTTCCAGAGCTGCACGAGCAGGCTGGGACTAGCAGGGTGTGGGTGTGTGTGTGGGTGTGTGTGTGTGTCTTTCTAAACAAAGCGTTTCCAGCACTTTGCGCTCTTTCCTTGGGACTTACTTCCTGAAGCAGCATCGTGGAAGGACGGGGGACAGGGCACGGGGTCCCTTCCACCCCCGACCCCCCGGCCCCACAGGGCTGCCCAGCAAACGGGCGGAGCTCACACTGCCCCTTCCCAGCACAGAAGCTGGCGCAGGGGCCTCTGCCGTAAAGAATGCTCCGCACACACAATACACGAGCCTGGATTTACGTGTGTACACGTCCTACCCCTGTGTTCACAAATAAAGCAGAATTTCCCATGTCCCAGGTGTGCCCCAAGGGCCTGGACTCTGCCCTAGGGCTCTGTCCACCGACGTCCCCACACTGACCCGCACGGTCAGACTTGGCAGCTTTAGGACACTTTCAGATCTGAAAGGGACACGTGGTCCCGCTGAAAACAGCACAGGGATTTTCATTAGAATCACACCAAGTCTGGGCGCCTGGGTGGCTCAGTTGGTTAAGTGACTGCCTTCAGCTCAGGTCATGATCCTGGAGTCCCGGGATCGAGTCCCGCATCGGGCTCCCTGCTCTGCGGGGAGTCTGCTTCTCCGTCTGACCCTCTTCCCTCTCGTGCTCTCTGTCTCTCATTCTCTCTCTCTCTCAAATAAATAAATAAAATCTTTAAAAAAAAAATCACACCAAGTCTAGAGTGGGGGAAGAATACGGGTCCGCACGTCTGGGAACATGGGGTGCCCCCAACCCTCCAGGTGCCCCTGAAGGTCCTCCCCTTCGTGGATTTCTGATCGGAAGCGTTTCCGGCTTCAGCTTTTCTACGAGAAAAGAGACTTCTCACAATGGTATTTCTAACCGAGGACTGTAGCGCTCTAGGAACTTATTTTTACAATTTTTTTTTTTTTTTAAAGATTTTATTTATTTGACGGAGAGAGACACAGCGAGAGAGGGAACACAGCAGGGGGAGTGGGAGAGGGAGAAGCAGACTTCCCGCCGAGCAGGGAGCCTGATGCGGGGCTCGATCCCAGGACCCCAGGATCATGACCCGAGCTGAAGGCAGACGCTTAACGACTGAGCCATCCAGGCGCCCCAACAAATTTCTTAACTTGGCAAAATTATCAACCATCGATTCTAACAGCTGCTCCACTGAAGACCATTAGCGCCCGGGCGACCAGGCTCTTCTACGCTGAGACTGGCAGGCACCTCGCTCCTCCGTGCTCCCACAGGAGGGGACACCGGAGGGACCCGCAGCTGCTCTCCCACGCAGCCCGAACAGAATCCTACGCCTGACTTTACAATTTCTTTTTTTTTTAATGCAATATGAGGATTACATTTTTTTCTAACTTTTATTATTTTTTTAAAGATTTTATTTGTCAGAAAGAGAGAGCGCACACAAGCAGGGGGAGCAGCAGAGGGAGAGGGAGAAGCAAGAGCCTGACGCGGGGCTCGATCCCAGGACTCCGGGATCATGACCTGAGCCAAAGGCAGACGCTTGCTTAACTGACTGAGCCACCCAGGAGCCCCTACTTCTAACTTTTAATATGGGTATTTTCATCCATTCATAAAATAGGGACACCAGCAGAATGAGGCTGATTATCAATGTGACCTTAGTCGCCCCTAAGAAAATTTCAGACCTCAAACTACGCCCCCCACAAATACTTCAGTATGCAACCCCTACATCATCCCACAGCACTAGCATCACACGGACACCAGCAAAAATTCGTATGTATCTGATAATATCGAATCTCCCCGCCCGTTCCGAAGGTTTATCCTCACGGCGGGTGTGTGTGCATCAGGACCCTGATGAGGGCCACGAGGGACACTCAGCCCTGTGGCTCAGGCGCGCTCCCGTTTCGACCTTCGCCCGCAGAGAAAGCAGCTGTCCGCCCCGTAAGCCGGCTCCCATTCTGACTGACCACAGGCGGCTCCCCGGGAGCGCAAGGCCCGACCCCCCGCCCGCGTGGAGCCGCTGATCGGATCCAGATTCCTGCCTCCAGACAGGACGCTGTCGCGAGCGGTGCCACAGGCTTGCGACGCCTCCCAACAGGCGAGGCCTGCTGTCCTCTTTCCGGGGTCAGCGGCTTCTTCCACCACAGGTGCCGCCACCCACGCATGACCCGCCGGAAATCGAGCATTTCCTCGGGGGGGGCGGGAGGGAAATGGCCTTTCAATCCCTCTGCACTTTCCACCCGGAATGTTTTATAAAAAATTGCTTTCAATTATTTGATTTAAAGAAACACTTTTGGGGGCGCCTGGGTGGCTCAGT